TATTTATAACAAGATTTAAACATAGTTCTATTCTCCTTTTAAACAACCTTTGATTTCGTTTTACTTTTAATAATAATCATAAATACTGAAGGGGTTTAATAAGAATTGATGACAGCCTCAAATTATTTAGATGTCGCATCCGTTATTAAAGCTGGTAGCGCCGATATATACATTCTAAGCATCTTTTATATTTTAATGTCAAAATTTGTAGTGAAGCCGATTGTTACAAATCTTTTTGCTTTTAGCCCAGACCTGAATCTTCTTCTACCTGTCGTTAAGAAATGTTTTTTTACTGTATATGTTACTACTGCCTATTGTTTTCAATTATTGCTCCAAATCTTTTCCCTCGCAAACTTTTTTGTCAGAGTAAATTACTTAGAAAACACTTTTTTCTCCACTTAAGCCTGTCCCTAGGAATAACATAATTAAATATTATATATACTAGAGTAACTTTGTTTTTAAAAGATACATGTTGTATATGTATGTGTCTTGGAAGAATGACAAGAATTCAGTGGCTCATATTAAAAACATTAGTAATAAAGAACAAGAAAAGAAAAGAGTTGACATAAAATATTCGAATAAAATCTAAGTATAACACGAATTGCTTATTCTGGTTACTTTGTTTTTAGTTTTTTAATGATATTATATTTGGGGAACCGCTTAAGGGAAAGAGTAAAAAGGTAGCAGGGTTTCACTGAGAACGGTTATTGGCTTTTGACATTTCAAACTGTGACGTAAATAGCATCAATATTATATTTTTATACTATATTTCATTTACGTATATTAGTAAACAAACGCCAAGGAACGAAGGAACTTTTAACCTCGCTAACGTCACGCTCTAAGTAGTTTAAAGCATTAGGATCCTATACTGAATTATTTTTTGTTTGACAATAAAGAAAAATTAAGATATAATGTAATATATAGTACGATGTAAGGCATTACTTTATCTTCTTCTTCTACCTGGCAATTTCCCAGCTTTAGGCAGCGTCTGTCTTACATGTTGTAAATGGTTTTGGCTAATTATTTTCGACCGGCCGCCTGCCTGACGTTAACCCTCTTTGGGAAAAAGGCAGTACTTTATCATAATATCTAAAAAAGACGTAAACGTTTACTACGTTTACTACGATTACGTCTTTTTACTTTTTTTTTATTTTATGAAAAAAATATTGATGCTACCGTGTTTTTACCCAACTTACAAAAGTTTTAATTTTGTAACATATCGCATGTTCCAATTGTACATATTATGTATATATTCAATAATAATCTACATTTAGATAATCATGTTTTATTGGACATCCCCTTTACATAGATATTTTAATTTTTTCGTATAATTATCAATGTGAATTTACAACCAATAAAAATTTTATGTTAATGAAACAAACAAACATACAGTGGACATCATACAGTGGACATCCCTACTGATATTATAAATGCGAAAGTAACTCTGTCTGTCTGTCTGTCTGTTACTCTTTCACGCCTAAACAACTGAACTAATTTTAATTAATTTTGGTACACAGATAGAGTTGACCTTGTAAAAGAACGTAGGATAGTTTTTATCGTAGACTTTTGAAAGGTTCCCTTGGAAACGCGATATAACCGAACTCCACGCGGGTGAATCTGCGGCCAGAAATCTAGTATTTTATAATCTTTGTATCTGCCAATGGTATATATATTTTTCATAAAAAATCTTTAAAGTGTCTTTGCTTAGTGATAACAATTTTAGTTAACTGTTTAAGGTTGACGTCAATAGGCTGTTATTTTTATTGTTCCCTCCGCATTGACGAAATTAGTAAGTCATAGTTGAATGATAAAAAATCTTTAGTAACTAACTTGAATAGTTTTAGGATGGAGCGATTTTTTTTCTATAACCTCAGATATTAGAAGTGATAAAATTAAAAGGCAGTATTTCTTGTTTATGGACACCAAAAAAGTAAGACTTCTTTTTTACATTTGGTTTCAATATCCAACTGATTACTTAGTAGAATTACATATACATATGTGAAATCTTGTATCGAAACTTTTATTTTATTTTTAATCACAAATATTTTCTCATAAACTTATATAAAATCAATAAAATATGTCGAATGTTAATTAAAATCCAAATCGTCGCTTCAATTTTGAAGGTGAAATAAAATATCAAACGTTTATTTTTAATTAAGACAAAATTTATAGTAACAGCAAGACGATTATTCAATATTTTATAACACAATTATAATCTTCTCGAACACAAAAGTTACTTATAATATTTTGCTGACATACACGTTCAAAATAGTGGCATATTGTACTTAATCTTTTTGTAAATAAACTGAGCTCAAATGGGAATAAAGTGTATTGGGTCTTTAGCAGCTGATTTCTGTGTGGAGACCACAATATCCCGGTGTAATTACCACCCATCAGAAAAGCCATACTCCTGACCGAATTCATGGATTTCGGTATGTTGTTTGACGTAGGGGTCTGAATAGTTGCTTGGTGAATCTAACTGAGTACGAAAGACCATAATTTTCTTTGTGTCATGGACTCGGAGAGTAGCGTGATCTAAAGACAGGTGCTTAGCTCAGCCGAAGGCCCAATTATTAGGTTATCCGCCTATAAGAAGATACCTCGTCAACTTTGTAAAATTACAGGGTGACTAAATCATGATGGCAACTGGATAAGATGACTCAATAAATGATGGTTTGTTTTTTCATTTTTTTTATGTGAAAGGTGGCAAACTAGCAGACGGCCCACTTGATGGAAGGTGGTTACCGTCGCCCATTGACATCCGCAACATTGTTGTTGCGGATGTGTTGCCAACCTTGATTTTTAGGGATAGGGAGGGGTGGGAATAAGGAAATGGTAGGAAAGGGTGGGAATAGGGAAACGGCAACCGGCTCTCTCACTCATCGGACGAAACGCAGCCATTAAAGGCTACTTCACGCCGATCTTCTGTGAGAGGATGGTGCTTCCCCGGTCGAGCCAGCCCATGTTCGAACTGTAGTAACTGATTACAGCTAGGCTCTATCACCTTTAAATATTTCATATTTATTATTCTCTATATCAGAAATCGAAATTTCTTTGTGATTTCTTACGCGGAGTCTTAGATTCTATTTGTTACATACGCAGGTTATATCTTGACGATTACGTTCTTTAATGATTCTGTATTTGTCTATATGGGCATTAAAATCTTATCCTCTAAGCCTCTAAGGTATTCACGACACGTTTATTTGAAAATTTTCTTTAAAAAATATCCCGTCATTTCATAGCAATTATAGATTTAAATTATTCTAGTATCAAAAAGAATAAATATAAGCAATACACTAACAAACAACTAAACTATGTTATAAATATATATGGATGTAATCATTTATTATACTTTTTATACGTATTATTTTATTTTGCATACGACGGTACATGGAGTGTTGAAAAATTTATAAGTCGTCTAACGAGATTTTGACTCGATACAAAAAACAAACGTCAGAATTATAAAAAAAATATTAATCATCTGTGGTTCCTTTAGAGCAAGTTCGGATTAAAATATTATAAATAATTAGAGATAGAAGTGGAATATATGAAAACCTTTTTAATTTACAATACATATACATACTTTTTGCTTAAGTATAGGCTGAATATATTTTAGTATTGAGATAAATAATTGGGTTTTTTAAAAGTATTCTTTGTTTATTATGAAGAACCAAAGTCAAGATACATATAAATATTACCAAATTATATATTTATGACTTTGTAGTGTACGATGACATCGAGACAAGTTGCTAGCCTTGAATTTGGCCAATATTAGGTACTTGAACCCAAATACCTACTCTCTTTTCTGACGAAGAACCGGTTAGAACGTAAAAGATACAAATCTCTCATAATATATAAAGAAATTTAAGTTTAATTAATGTTACGTAAACTTACCACTGATTTTATAAAAAAAAATATTATATATTTTTATTGGGTGGTTACAAAAACTTGACTTTTTGCTTCCAACCTCAACAAATAAATTAAAAAAAAGTTAATATACATAAAATTATGATATATATTTAAATATATAAACATATACATAAAAATCTTTTTTCATATAATATGTAAGGTGCAGTTTTATTTATGAAACTTGTACAAATTCTTTAATCTTTTTTCCTCATCTCAAAAAAAATTTCATTAAAATTTTTGTTCTATAATATATTATTAATATAATTGTTCCTTTTATATTTTAAAACAATACATATTGTTATATTAAGTATCTAACATAGCCATAGAATAGTAAATATATGATTGTGACATAAAATAAAATCAACTCGAATACATAGCTTTATATTATTTAGTAGCCAGTTAACAGATAAATCATATTAGATATACACAAAAACAATTATATAATATGTAGTATATATTAAAAATATGAATGTATAAAAAACAAAATTTTAAACTACATCACTCAATTTATAGAAATCCTTCTTCTTCTACCTATGTAGTAATTTCCCAGCTTTAGCCAGGGTCTGCCTTACATGTTGTGAATAGTTTTGGCTAATTATTTTTACGACCGACCGCCTGCCTGATATCAACCCTCTTTGGGAATGCATTAATCAGTGATGTCTAAATACTCTTAGAAAGTACATATGACTCGGAAAAATCACATTGGTACTTGCCCGGGCCAGGATCGAACCCGCACCCTCGTGCATGAGAGGCGGGCCTTTTAACCACTAGGCTACCACTGACTTTAATTCAATTTATTTCTTTTCACTTTATCTGAATCCATGACAGATTAAATCCAGTACTTTTTTTGAAAAAAAATATTCATTTTTATTTATGACATAAAAAGTTTAAGTATATATAACATATAATTTGGCTAAATAATATTTTTTTTATTATCTAATAACGTATACTGTGGCATTAACGTAATTACAGATGCCCGCTCGTATAAAACGCTACTTTGACGTGGAAGCGGCGCAGTCGTAACCTTATTGTCGAAGGATTTAGACATTATATTATTTATAATATTTATATTAGTATTAATAATTTTTAAGATGCGTGTATACTTGTGTTTTGCCGCGATAGCTGCGGCCATATCATGTGCCACTGGTGGTGCACTTCGTAAGTCATTTTTTTTATTAAAATAAAATAAAATAGAAGAATTTCTTATTTATTATGCTACGATATGAAATATAAAATGGGTATACTGAGTTTTAAAAAAATAAATTTAATTTTATACTTGTGTCAGATTTTTTTAAGAATAATTATTGAATATAGTCTTAAATACTTAAAAAATATGCATTATAATTTGAATACGTATGCAATATTTAAGTTAACATATTATATTTTCAAATAATAAATTTATCATACAATGGAAAATATTTCGAAAGCGATATTAGTTGAGAAAAATTAAATTTAATCTCTTAAAAAACATAACATTTTGATACGTTTGAGATTTTTAAAGTACCATGTTTGTATTTATATTAACCCAAGCTTTATAACTATAGAAGAATGAACTGCTCATGTCGCAATTAGTTCTATGACTAAATACCAATTAATTGACAATTGACAGCTACAAAAACTAAGATGACAGATGATAGAAAGAAATCACTGGATACACGTGTAAAGAAAATAATAACCCTTGTTTAATATATTAAATTTACATTTATATTAATATTCATGTAATATTTAATACCTTGTTAACATTCATGTTTCTGATCTCCTCTTTTTTTTCTGTTTACATCTTAAACATTCAAACATACGATACTTATAACAAAAAAGAAATTAATAAAACCTCTTTACTTTTTTTTTTTTTAAAATAAAACTATGTTACTGGCTAGAAATTTAAAAATAAATTAATCAAAATTTGTTTTATTCCTGTTAGCTGTCATGTTTTAGGTATTTTTGATTTTCGTAAATAAAAGATTTACATATATTTTATGGGAGTGAGAACTTAAAAAGAGTTAATATTCTATTAAAATCGGTTCCGGAATTTGAAAAATAACACCATATGAATAGAAAGGAAGTAGAATAAAAATTAAAAGGTTTATCATAGTAAAAAGCAAAGCTAAAGATTGACATCGTAAAAAAAAGTTTTCGTCATCCACTTGACAGTGACAGTTTAAGATTTTTAAGAATATTTTGAAATGAAAAACGTATAACTGTCAATATTTCATAATAGGATTCAGAAGTCAAAATAAAAATAATTAAAGGCCATCTTTAAGTTTGCCCTATTTTTTTCTTTCCGTAGAAAATATATTCACTGCTAAATGTAATTCAGAAATCTCACAACTATAAAATTGTTAATTTTTACGTGAAATTAAATATATTTTTTTACAACGTGAATAAGTTGTATACTGAAAGACTATTTAATATATAGTAATTAATTAACAAATATTTCAATATTAAACTAACGACAAAAATTACAAATAAATCCATTAAAGAAACACAATTTTCGAAGTAAGTAATGATTGTTCGACGTGAGAATTCAATATTTATTTGTAAACAATACAGTTCGCACAAATGAAAACAAAATAACAAGAAGTCTTGTTTTTATAATCAGTCTACGTAGTTCAACCTAAATTAATTATGGAACTGTTGGTCTTAGATAGGAGAATATTGCATTTGTTAAAAATATATATATAAATATCAGGAGTTTAAAGGCTCAAAGATACTCATAAAGTCATTCGGACTCAGATGAAAGTACGTTTTCATCTTCAAATCGTCTTAGGACTAAAGTTTTAAAGGTTGTATTTAAACAAATCCCTACTAATATTATAAATACGAAAGTAACTCTGTCTATCTGTAACGCTTTCACGACTAAACCACTGAACTGATTTTATTGAAATTTGGTTCAGACATAGAGCTGACTTTGAGAAAGAACATAGGATAGTTTTTATCCCAGACTTTTGAAAGGTTCTCTTGGAAACGCGATATAACCGAACTCCACGCGGGCGTAGCTGCGGGCGGAAAGCTAGTGCTTTATAAAACGAAACCAATTCTTTTGATGTCGGACAATTTTGTTAAGCATAACAAATAACAATGAGGCCACGGTAACTAAACATAATCCTCAGAAACAATAAAACTGAGTCCAATATTTGCGCTTTTAATACAGGTAAAGTGAGTAAGCAATCAACAAAGTGACTAGAAATATATAATAAGTTACCCACGACTGTAAAATAAAGTTATAGATTGTGGTAACTTAAATTTGCATGAAACTATTATAATTCGGATTACTACGCGTATTTTATTATTTTGAAAACTACATACTCCCGACGTTTCGATTACTTTTCAGCAACCGTGATCATTAAGACGAGATGTGATTGTCTGTCAGTTGGTTCTGTTATTTATCCGAATAATATTAGATTCATTTAAATGAATACTCTCGTAAATCTGACATTTAATTCTGTTGTAAATATTCTAAATGTATGAGATTAGTTTGTAACGCGGATATAAAGCATCACCTCATCAAATCAACAGTCCAAGGGCTGGCATTGAAGTTTCGTGATCCAAAATAGTTACCTAATATGAACTAACCTTACATCTAAACAAGACAACCTTGACTTTGGATTTTATTGTGATTCTAAAGATAAGGGACGCTTCTCTTCCTTAATAAAACACGTTAAAAATTAGTATTAAAAGTAATAATATAATCGGGAGTAATTTGTTTATTATTAAAGACTTTTTTAAACAGAATTTAATATTAAATAGAAAGTGTGAAATTTCGATATTCTTTTATATCACTGAAATGATAGAGTAGAAGACTAGCTTGTAGGGAATCATTAAATATTAGAAGAAATCTATTATTAGTAGCCTATTTTAAACTTTCTGGTTAATAAAAATGACATTACATAATCAGGTAATGTCAATGTCATTTTTGATTCAATTCTTGACAATCGTTATAATGACGTATCTACAACAGTAGAGCCGTTTTAAAAATCTATTTTAATGAATTCTACAATAAAATAAAATAATCATTCAAAGATATAAATAATAGTCACAGTATTGCATGAGTTTTGAAACAAACTGACAATTAATATCTACCTATATTCTATAGTATACACATTACGTCAGAATCGTAAAGTATTTTTTACTAGTGTTGCGGTCATGAGAAGGATTTAAAGCTGTAACAATAGATCTTTAGAAATATTGTAATCTACTTACAACAAAAACTATCTATATATAGATAAAGCGCGAATTATACTTGCAAATAGCATTGTGTTCGTTTTGTATTTCAAAACGTTTTTGTTGTTTTAGTATTTATCGCTTTTATGATACTCTGATGAATTATGTCCAGAAAAATGTATAAAATAACCGAATAGGTACTCACAAAGTTTTTCTATATTATAATAGCTTTTTTTAAAACAAACTATGTATATTGGAAATCAACAAAAAAAAGTTTGGGGAGTCTCTCAGCGCGGTAGAAGTGAATCTTCGTAATTTTGGAATGAAAACAGGAAGGGGTAGAAATTGTTATTTTAAGGATTATTTAATGCTTCTTTAAGACAAACTTTATTGTCATTACTTACAAGTCACAATTGATTGGCCGCGTGCTTTTATACGCATTCCCTCTCGCTGTTTCTTTTCCTCCCACCCCAGGAGCGTTAAACGTTTAACGCAACTTTGTTGGAAGTCCCATAAAAAGTGAACTAAAAAACTGTTTAACTATGCATAATATTATAGTGTAATATATATTTTTTTGTATAGCGTCGTTCATCAAGGCCTGCTCAGCGTCCGATCCCAACCTGAACCAATGTATTGAGAATGTGATTACATCCGCGGGTCCCAAGTTCGCTCGCGGAATCCCCGAGCTGGGCATCAAGCCGTTGGATCCTGTAGAACTTGGCAGGGTAGTCGTGGACAATCCTGCACTCAAACTTACCTTCGATGACACAGTCGTAACTGGTTTGGCAGGATTCAGGATTAATACTTTCAAGTAAGTGTAATCTATTATCAAATCAAATTGAGAACTAAAATTAACTCTATTAAGGCTAATGTTTATTACTTAAGGTAGGAAAAAATTCTAGCGACAGTCTAAGTTATACGTTGCTGCAAAACACAAAATACGAAACGTTTCTTTTCTGAACAGCAATTTATTCCTTACCCCTACAGTAAAATAACTATTAATTGTATAGTAGAATTAACTTTTAGAATTTCCACGAACCAGAAAAAAGACTAGGGTTGTTATGTATGATCTCAGAATTTAAATAAGTTTAAAGTTTGCATCCTTTTTTTTAGATTGTTCCCAGAAAAAGGCAAAGCAGTTGTCGATTTTACAGCCAATGTGACTTTAAAGGCGCACTACGTAATGGATGGTCAAGTACTGATCCTTCCTATCAAGGGTGATGGACAGGCCAAGATTAAGATCAGTAAGTTAAATTATCTACAATATTTAATTAACTATATACTTATAAAACAACTGATTAGTGTTGTTTTCTCTACCCAAAAAAGGCAGAGAACATGTTTACAACAACCCTTAACGATAATATGAGACGCCAAACAGTTAGCGTTAAAAAATCGTGTGTCAAATTCCCTAAGACACATAAATAATATTGATCATTTATTAATATAGAAAATCTATTTTTTTTAAACCTAAAAAACACACAAACATACTCTATACAGTCATTATTATTATAACAAAAATACAATATTTTATATATCGATGATTAATGAAGCTTATAATTTGCAGCGAACCTAAACATTAATGTTAAATACGACTACAAAACTGTCGACGGTTTCTGGACGGTGACAGGCCACAAGGATGAATACAAAATGGACAGGGCACAGTTCAAGTTTACAAACCTGTTCAACGGAAACAAGGAACTTGGTAAATATAAAAACATAACATATTAAAAATATATACAATATATATAACATAAACCTCTTTCACCTTGGATACGTAAACTGTCATTAACATAATGACTCGATACCACCCAATTAAATAAATTAACTTCATATTACTGGAAAACTTAATTGTCAACATTTGACATCAGTGATTTACATAAAACAAGAATGGACCTATTATATCTAACGACACAGCAATTATCCTCTTACAGATTAATTGATATTATAATAACTATAAAGTTTTAAAACGTTCAGCAATTACCTGTATAATATTTTGCTTCCTTGGAACTGTCAAGATCGATCATAATTAAAGTACAATGCTTACAAGCGCTTAAGCGTTGCGTCATTTAGACACAGATATTATAATAAACATAATATAAATTACAAAAAAAAAACAACAAACAAACATTACAGCTGACACAACACTCAAATTCCTAAACGAAAACTGGAGCATTATAATGCAAGAAATAGCGCCGCCCGCCATTGATCAAGTCATTGAGAGCTGTCTAGCTGAAGTCAAGAAGTTCTACTCCGCGGTGCCGGCGAACTTGCTGCTTGCTAATTAATGGTGATGATGATGAAGATGATTTAAGTCATAAAATAATCTTTGATCGATAAATCAACTCGAATTTTATCGATATCAAACATCCATATACTAACCACAGACTATAAAACTTAAATACAACTCATTTTACATTGTCATAATACATTTATTATCTTTAAAATTTAACTATAACTGGAATCATTTTTCAAAACTTCTTATTCTCTATTTAGATATTGATCATACATTATCATCTACAGCTTGTTCATCGTCAGTAAATCAGCTATTTACATTTAGAAACTACTAATTTGATTCATTTCTCATGCGCCATATTCAATACATCACTTCTCATTGCCAGATTTATACTTTAATTCTTACTATCATCACATAATGTATATAATGTTATTATCTTATAAGATATCTTTAATATTTTAGCTGAAACAATAGACGCGGTGATCAACGAACATTGGGAACCAGTGATAAGAGACATAGCGCCTGTGGCATTCAAAACAATCATCAACGCTTGTGTGAATGAAGCAAAAAAACTCTACGCTGCAGTTCCCGCTAATCAACTACTTCTACCTTAAACATATAACATACGAAAAATATCTAAAGACATAAACCGCATAAAATATATACAACCTATTTTAAATTATTCATGTTTTTTTTTTAATATGGTAATGGTATCATACTTCGGTGACATTGGAATGTTAGCATACGTTTAAAAATATTCATAAGTTCACCTTATTCGCTCTCTAGTGTGAGAACACAAGTTAATAATCAAGCTATTATTGTAACATTCTTTTCTATTGAATATGTATAAAGGCGTCCTGTTTTCTATCGGCACATTATCATTGCAAGAAGTCAATGTTTATGCCGGTTTTACAATTTCCGTGACGTGTAACTTCCGAAATATATTGCAACGGAATGAAATTCAACGCTATATAAATCAAATTTCAAGTTTGTTTTCCAGATAACATTAAATTAAAATATGAGTATGTATCTTAATATAACTTTTAATTATATTAAAACGACATCTATGTAACGCACACGACATCTCTGCCTAAATAACACTATCATTAAACAAACAAAGTTCAATATAGATAAGACTATTGTGATAACTATATGTAAGTTAGTATTTTAATTAATATTGATTGTGCAATAAAAATAAACAAGTTTCTTAATTATTTTTTTTATTTTCACCCTTAAAGTTTTTAATATAATCTGTGGAATTAATTTTTTGTAAATATTACGAAATCTTTGTTGATTTCTTTATTTCCTTTCATTTATCATTAATCAACAACTAGGTACCTATTTACACCTGACCTGCTGTACAATGATAAAAACTATTTTGAAAAACAATTTAATTATACTTAATTGAGGAAAATTGAAAATAATATCATGCAAAAATTATTGTATCTGGTATATTAAAGTGAAAAGATGCATGACGATAGCATATTTAGCAGTGTTGATATGCATGGTGCATGTAGCAGGATTGATCATAGGCAGTCTTGAGTATACCATAGAGTACCAAAAATAAGAAAAAATCTGTTTACTTTCACAGAACAGACCATTCTTTGCTCTTTCTTCAAAGCTAAAAGGCTAATATTTATTTAAGATATACATATATCTCATGTTTTCTCTTATCAGCCATGAAGATATTTGGTATGAAATTTTATAAAAATATATGTTTCTTTACAAACCAATACAGTTGTTAATTCTCATATAATTTTATCCTAGTTACAAACTCACTATAGGAATAAAATATACCCATTTGGACAATAATTTGTAAATTTAAATAAACACTTATAATTGTTCTTATTGACCTAACTACACACAGAATTACATGTGTAAAATTTGTAAAATATATGTTTTAAACGAAAACAATAATATTATAATTTTAAATCTTTATTCAAAAATAACAATTGTATATGACCAATGTATAATATTACACTTAAATGCTATTTGTTGCAAAAATAAAAGCACTTTAGGACTTTAATATGGCAGAGAAGCTGTATATAAGCATATTTAACGAGGACACATTGCATGACGGCCACCATCGACTGGTAAACTTGCTCCTGTAATATTACTTGCTAAGTCGCTGGCTAGAAAAGCTATAGTTGCAGCAACTTCATCAGGTTTCCCAGGTCGACCTAACGCATGTGTTTCTTTGGTCCTTTCTAGAAATGCTGCATACTGTTCATCGCTCAAACCTCCTCGTTTCTGAAGCTCAGTCAAAATCACACCGGGATTAACACAATTAACTCGTACTCCTTTTGGAGCTAACTCCAAAGCTACACAGCGAGTGAATTGATCCACAGATGCCTTTGATATATTGTAGGCTAAAACTCCAGGGAAGGAACGGATACCATTTACACTTGATACGTTAACTATATTGCCTTTAGTTTTAATTATATGTGGTACAGCCAACATTGTAAGGTAGTAAATGGAACGAACATTTGTATTCATGAGTCGATCATATTGAGCCAGAGAAGTATTTTCAATCGTACCAGTTTCTATTATACCGGCATTATTAATTAGAACGTCGATTTGTCCATAATGGTCTACTGTGTTTTTCACTATTTTCTCAATGTCATTCTCTTTCGTCAAATCGGCGGGAACAACTAATGTTGATGTAGATTTAGCACAATCTTTATTGATCTTTTGAAGATTTTCCACGTTTCTTCCAATAAGAGATAATTTTGCACCGAGTTTTGATAAAAATACAGCTGTTGCGGCTCCAATACCAGAACTCGCTCCCGTAACAATAACTACTTTCCCAGCGAAGTTCATTTTTAAAAACTATACAAAAATCTTAAATGAATACCAGCAGATTACTTAAATCTTATGAAAAAATATAAATAGATGTCGGCGTGAGAGCAAAAGGAACAGGTTTCAACAAGCACGTACAAGCATGAGAGCGAACGTACGGGCGCGAGAGCAAAAGGAACAGGTTTCAACAAGCACGTACAGGCGCGTACAGGCGTTTACAATCTCTTATCGCTCAACAAGTCAGGCGAGGTGGCGAACGACCTATATAAAGCGACGTGCTAGGCGGCCGGACACACTTCAACGTTAGCACTAGCTTCGTTCACATCTCTTAATTGTGATATTTGTCACTCCTGAATTGTTTCTAATTTAAATTGTTTTCTTGATTGTAAATTAGTCAAATTTATAATAATTTGTTGAAGTGTCTAAATTTCTTCAATATTAAATTTATTAAAATTAATTATTCTCAAATTAATTGTCAATGGTCAAAATAGTTAAATTTGTCAATTACTAAATTGTTAATTTATGTTAAATTCGTGATTTTAATTTGAATTAATAAATGTTATATTGTGATTTATTATGATTATTATTTTTAACTATCACTTATGCCTGGGGACGAACGTCCATGTTTACCTATTTTACAGGGCCCTTTCTATCTCAGCCGATATCAGAAGTGGGATGGACCTTGGGAACTCTTCAGGTCCATCAGCCCGCACGGAAGGAAATGGAAATAACCAGGCTCTGTCTGCTAGAGAACGTAACGCGGCTCTACGACTATAATCAGGTGGAAAGAGGCCACGGTAACGCTTCCGCCCAGCCCGCGGCCTCCAGGTGTGGCTATCCGGTCACGAACCCAAAGCAGGATGGGTTTGTAGGGGCAACCAGAGACGTGCCAAGATGGTACGGCACGTCGTCCGACTCGAGGACCTTATTGTAGCGGGGCGGCCGACTCCCCGTGTCTGCCATCCCATTTTGCGCCATGACGGTTTCGAAAAGGAGAGGACCGCCTGCCACGACCTAGAACTATCGACCATAGATTTAACTACGTTTGATAAAGATAGGTCGTCCCCTATTTTAGTGACGAGGTTCGGTCGTTCACAGGCCAATGACATATTGTTTTGTGCTCTCTGTAGGCTCAGTGTTGGATTTGCTGGCTGTTGATAACAGTTGGATTCCATAGGTCCAGATTGGTTTTATTATGGAGCAATAAACCCTTAGCTTGTTGGACAGGGACAGTGCAGATTGTCTACCAAGAAGCCAGAGTAGGTTTTTGAATCTAAAGTTAATTTCATTGCGTTTCATTTTTATGTGTTCTTTCCAGGTCATCCTTCGGTCAAGATGAAATCCAAGGTAATTAACGCAAGCTGTCTGCAGCAATGAGTCGGATCCTAGTTTAACTGAAGGGCAGGTTGCGCGCCTCAGGGTGAATGTAATGTGGTGCGACTTCGGTTTGATACGCCACTCGGTCAGCCAGGCGTTAGTGGCGTCGAGCTATGTCCGCAGTCGTCTGGTAGCAACAGAAGTTAAGTATGGGTGCTAATCGAGAATTTCTAGCAGGACTTCTAAATCAGGCTGTGGCTCCAACAAAACGGCCGCGACTCAGCGATCCTTTGCCCTATCTACATGCTCGCACCGGTCCTGTGTTGATGCGTCGCCGTCTGTTAGAAGAAGCTGTTATTGGAAATACAGGTGACAAAAGTTAAGTACTCTCACCGTATCTATAATAATTCCCATGGCTGCTATTACTAGTCCAAAAACGACCTCCCGTTTCAATTCAAACAAAGACCTTACGATTAGGTCTAGCTCATTTTGCAATAGATCCAAAACAATGTCACTCCTAAGGAGATTGCTATTTTTTAAAAATGATACCAATTGTAGATATGTACTCGTATCGTACGAGGTGATAATGAAGCCCATTTGTATATACTGTTCTAAAATTAGAACACACTTTATATAAAGGTGTCTAAACACTAAATATGGTGTTGGTGATAATCTTCTATATATATATAAAAAATGATTGCTGTTCCTTAGTCTCGCTAAAACTCGAGAACAGCTGAACGGATTTATCTTACCTTAGTCTTGAAATGTTCGTGGAGGTTTAGGGAAGGTATAAAAACTGAAAAAAATTGATTCATTACTCGGAAAACCCTAAAAGCAGCGCTTTTCTATTTCCCATGCAAACGGGTTTTTGACATTAGATTTGACAACTGACTAATATGTCAATCATTCTGTCGCACTTCAGAACACGGAGACTTATGGCTTAAAGGTAAACTCCAAAAAAAATAATTAAGAATAATTTATTTCTTGATTGAGGCAGTACGAAGTCTGCCGGGTCAGCTAGTTATTTATAATGATTTAAATATTTGTCTACTTCACAATTCTAAGCTTTACCTTATTTATATTCTAATATTACTTGGGAATTCTTGTAACGGAAAATAGGCGCCATTTACATGTTTGATATAATTGTGTAAATTCATGTGAGGGGAACTGGAGCCCAATATTGTAACCTACCCTCAACTGGGTGTTACTTTTGATTATTATAAATACCACGCGGGTGTTAACTGGGGATTCGGTTACAAATTGTAAAGCAGTAGGCCTCGAAGTGCAAGTGTTGCCCAAATAATTTCTAACAATAGTTATATTCCCTTTCAACAATACTGTGACAATGTTTTGTGGATATTGTCTTGTAGAAATTCAGTTCTGTTTCTGTCAGATCGTGGACTTCCTTTTGACGTGTTGTTAGAAGGAAAAAAGAAAGTGATGATAATTAGAAAAACTGCGTCATTGTTATTGTTCCATATTGGTCCATAACAAGGGATGACCCATTCAAAAACTTCGACATAGTCGTACATAAATATTGACTGTGACCTTAGACGAAAATAAATCTTCCGATCAAACAAGGTCACTGTAATTTTCGGTTAATATTATTAGTAAATGCGATATCTCTGAATATCTTTGTAACGTAATTGAAAATGGACAAATGTGTCCCCCAGCCCACAAAGCCTTAAGATTTTATAAAATCACCTCTTCCCAGAATCGTTAACCAAGAAAAACAATTCAACGGTTTTGCAGGGTGTATTACAAAAATTCATTTCCAATTTTTCTCGTGTTCACGACACCTCTTTATGATTCAACCAAAGGTGAATTTCAAACGTCTTTAAAGGACTCATTTCTTTCATGATAAGAAATTCAAAATACCAACAGACTTTAACTCTACGAAGCGATCTAAGTACGAAGTAGATTCTCTTTCAATCTATTCACCTATTGATGGGTTTTCCTTAAAAGAATTAGATTCATGTGTTGAGTATAGGAAATGTGTTAGACTACAGAATGCTTACTTCTTTATTCGGAATCCTATTCATTTCAAAGAAACCGTGGTGAATTTTATGACCCGATACTTCGCGTATTTAACAATAGAATTGAGAAGAGATCACTGACTGTTCTCTAAGAGACGCGTTCTTCAAGAAAGCCATAGAATATCCCATTGTGGGACCACAACAATGAACTGTTGTGTCAACTGCTTTCCAGTAATGTCTTAACATGTTGGATTGAGGAAAATATTCTTTAAAATAAAAGAATCCTATTGGTTAAAAAGAAAACAAGACTTATTCGCATTCTATAAATAGATTGTCTTATCCATGAAATTTCTAATATTTTTTCAGAACGATTCCGGCTGCATCCCATACACAACACTCATCAGCGTTTGAAGTTATCCAAGTCAGGTATTAGCCGAGCAAATGAGGATCGGAACAGGCTGCGCTTTCAACCACTGGTCTCTACAGACTAGTTTCCATCAGCCACAACGGGAAGAGTGACGGGACGCGATAACCGTCTATTGTGGTATACGAAATTCAGAGAATGGTACCTCTGAGTTTAACTTGTGTTAATACTCTTAAGCTATCCTCGTAACCATGATGTATCCTTATGTGAATTATGAATCATAAGATTCTGTAGGGATATGTTTTGTGAAGCCGTGAAAAGACACGTATACACCAAAGAGTGATACCTCTGAGCTAATCACGTGCTATCCTTGAGCTAACTGTAAGAGAATCATAAGATTCTGTAGGGATATGTTTTGTGAGGCCGTGAGAAGACACGTATACACCAAAGAGTGATACCTCTGAGCTAATCACGTGCTATTCTTAGGTTAACTGTAACAGAATCATAAGATTCTGCAGGGATGTATTGTAAAGCCGTGAGGAGACACGTATACACCAAAGAGTGATACCTCTGAGCTAATCACGTGCTATTCTTAGGTTAACTGTAACAGAATCATAAGATTCTGCAGGGATGTATTGTAAAGCCGTGAGGAGACACGTATACACCAAAGAGTGATACCTCTGAGCTAATCACGTGCTATTCTTAGGTTAACTGTAACAGAATCATAAGATTCTGCAGGGATGTATTGTAAAGCCGTGAGGAGACACGTATACACCAAAGAGTGATACCTCTGAGCTAATCACGTGCTATTCTTAGGTTAACTGTAACAGAATCATAAGATTCTGCAGGGATGTATTGTAAAGCCGTGAGGAGACACGTATACACCAAAGAGTGATACCTCTGAGCTAATCACGTGCTATTCTTGAGAGAATTATAAGATTCTGTAGTGATGTCTTGTGAAAGCCGTGAGAAGACACGTATTCACCAAAGAGTGATACCTCTGAGCTAATCACGTGCTGAGTAACTAAGTTGAGGACAGGGGCCTCCTTAGTTGTGTAATGTAAGTTGAGGACAGGGGCCTCCTTACAGTGAGTAACTAAGTGGAGGACAGGGGCCTCCTTAGTTGTGTAATGTAAGATGAGGACAGGGGCCTCCTTACAGTGAGTAATTAAGTGGAGGACAGGGGCCTCCTTAGTTGTGTAATGTAAGTTGAGGACAGGGGCCTCCTTAGTTGTGTAATGTAAGTTGAGGACAGGGGCCTCCTTACAGTGAGTAATTAAGTGGAGGACAGGGGCCTCCTTACAATGAGTAACTAAGTGGAGGACAGGGGCCTCCGTAATTGTGTGATTGCAGGGCAAAGTCGAGGGTACAAGACCGCGCGGCAGGTCACCCATGCGCTGGACAGACCAAGTCAGGGCTGCAGTGGACGAGAGACGAGTGGCGACGTGTTGTGAAGCGTGCCACCACACATCATGATGACCACGATCGTTCTGCCAAGAACGTATCGACTTAGAAGAAGAACTAGGTCGAAGGCGACCATCATGCAGAATGGCCGTGTCGGCGTGAGAGCAAAAGGAACAGGTTTCAACAAGCACGTACAAGCATGAGAGCGAACGTACGGGCGCGAGAGCAAAAGGAACAGGTTTCAACAAGCACGTACAGGCGCGTACAGGCGTTTACAATCTCTTATCGCTCAACAAGTCAGGCGAGGTGGCGAACGACCTATATAAAGCGACGTGCTAGGCGGCCGGACACACTTCAACGTTAGCACTAGCTTCGTTCACATCTCTTAATTGTGATATTTGTCACTCCTGAATTGTTTCTAATTTAAATTGTTTTCTTGATTGTAAATTAGTCAAATTTATAATAATTTGTTGAAGTGTCTAAATTTCTTCAATATTAAATTTATTAAAATTAATTATTCTCAAATTAATTGTCAATGGTCAAAATAGTTAAATTTGTCAATTACTAAATTGTTAATTTATGTTAAATTCGTGATTTTAATTTGAATTAATAAATGTTATATTGTGATTTATTATGATTATTATTTTTAACTATCACTTATGCCTGGGGACGAACGTCCATGTTTACCTATTTTACAGGGCCCTTTCTATCTCAGCCGATATAGATTATATTATTTAAAAAAACTCGTGCCGGATAATTTGTCTGTTTTCTGATGTTACTGAAAGGTAAAAAAATCACATTTAGAATTATACCACCAATCGAATCAATATGTTGATGTAACTGGAAACATTTAATTGGGTGAATTTGATTGTTACGTAATGTTTATCTGAAATGTTGAATTAAATATTGCAAATGAAAACAGATCGTACTTGTTTACTAAAGATATGTCAGTTTTAACTATTTATCGCCAGATGACACTTGATGTCAGACTTCAGAGAGATGTTATGCTGTATCGCATTGAAGTTTATTGTAGATAAATAATAAAACTTGGATTGAAAAAATAAGAAATCTTACGATTACATGATTTTGGCATATTTGTAACCACATTAATTGTATAATATTAAATTCGTTCTGCTCCCTAAAGATGAGAAAATGTGTCTTTGATCGTATAAAAATATTTTTTCTCAGGTGTTACATATATCGCGTACAATAGATATTTTTTATTATGATCAAAATATATTCTTATAATCATATTAAATAATCATCTTATCTAATTTAACATATAAAATTAGATGCTAAGCTATTATGCATTCCCCCTTACATTAATAATGACAATAACGAGTACTCAAAAACCAATTAGATTTGTTTATAAAATGACATAATTTGACTTGTTTACAAAATATAATACTTAAAATTCCAAAAAAAATAGTATGTAGAAATTTACAAGTGTTTTGGATTTATTTTTATATTCAAAATTCTAAGTTAAAATTTTTAAAATATGGCTACAGTGAGTCGAATATTGAAATGTTTATCGCGAGTCAGTCACACATTATGAGCGGACTAATAAATGAGAATTCTTACAGAAAGAAGTTATTCATATACACATTGGACAATCTGGAGTTCAAGTCGCTAATGCTTGTTGGGAACTTTATTGTTTGGAACACGGAATTAGGGCTGATGGCATGTTGGTTTTTTCAGATGATAGAAGTTGTGGAACATTTTTTAGTCACACTGGAGCCGGGAAAATGGTCCCTAGGGTCGTCATGGTTGACTTAGAGCCTACACCTATAGGTATTACACGTAATTTATACATGTTACAGGCAAAACGACGCTTACTTCTTACATTTATTTTATTTTTACATAGATGAGATCAGAACGGGAGCGTATAGACAACTGTTTCATCCAACATCTTTGATTACTGGAAAAGAAGATGCAGCTAGTAATTTTGCACGAGGATATTTCGGAGTGGGTAGAGAGATGATAGATATTGCTTTAAATCGTGTGAGAATAGCGGCGGAAGACTGCAGTTGCCTCCAAGGTTTTATAATCTTCCGATCTTTCGGAGGGGGTACAGGGTCGGGATTCACTGCACTATTATTGGAAGGTCTCACTAAAGATTACGGTAAACTTTCTAAAATTGAATTCGCAATATATCCATCGCCAAAAATATCGCCAGTGATAGTAGAGCCCTACAACGCAGTACTCACTGCCCACGCTTGTATGAACACAGAGGACGTATGTTTTATTTTCGATAACGAAGCTCTCTATGATATACTAGCAAGGCTTCTGGATGTACCGAGGCCCACGTATACGAATTTAAACAGACTTATCGCACAGGTATTGAGAATTTTTGTTGCACTTATGGCTTGATTGGATCATGTTCAATAATTAAAAATATTTTCAGGTAGTCTCATGTATGACGGCATCATTAAGATTCGAAGGCTCGTTGAACGTTGAACTAGTAGAATTCAGAACAAATTTAATACCCTATCCTAGAATTCATTTCCCTTTAGTCACTTTCGCTCCATTTGTGCCGCCCACAAAAGCACTTCATGAGACCATGACGACCCAACAGCTAATAATGTCTTGTTTCGAACCGTCCAATCAAATGGTTAAATGTGATCCCAGGACGGGAAGCTATATGTCTTGTTGTTTACTGTTCAGAGGCGATGTTAATACTAACGATATTAATTTTGCGATTAATCAAATAAAAAGTATGCGTTCTATTAAATTTGTTTCTTGGTCTCCTACTGGTTTTAAGGTGTGGTATATTTGTAATTAAAAAAGCCTAAATGATTATGCTGGTAGCTTGTAAGTTTATTGCCTAAGTTTGATAATATTTTTAGATCGGTGTTAATAATCAACCGCCCACAACAGTCCCTGGGGGCGATTTAGCAGCTCTTCAAAGAGCAGTTGCAATGGTATCTAATTCTTCAGCTGTTCGTGTCGCTTGGGAACGATTGTGTAAAAAGTTTTATCTTATGTACTCCAAACGTGCTTTTGTACATCATTTTGTGGGTGCAGGTTTGGAAGAGGGAGAATTTAAAAATGCCTATTTCAACATAAAAGCATTATCAAATGATTATAAAGAAATGGAAACATAACAATGTCCAATTTTTATTAAATTGTATGAACTAAATGTCGATGTTTTATTCACAAAAAAGACAGATTAATCGATGTCCAAGTTACATATATCGTACTTGTCAATGTCAAAAAAATGCTTTAATTGTGAGTGAGTGCTATGGAATATAAATATTATTGTGACTGAAATTATATTACAGCATATTATTAAATAATATTTAAACAAATATAATATAGGTATAAGGCGACAGGTGTTGGAAAAGAGAATAAGACAAAAAGTAATAATACACATCAGTTATTTATCTATTTTTAATTTCACATGTACTTAATATTTATCCTTTTAATCAATAATCAAGTTAACTCAAGATATACAAAATATTTAATCAATTGGTATCTTGTCTCATATTAATTGATTCCGTAGAAATATTGTTATTTCGTAAAAAATATCTTTCAGTGTTAACTTTTTCCAGAATGTTGGGTATGACGAATTTATGTCGTTACTCTCAACTTGTAAGGGTTGCTCCGACCAAACTGTTAGGATCAAATTCGAGATTAGTTTCAAGACAGCTTATGACACCAATAAGAAACAACAACCACAAACAAAATATATTTAAGGGATTTCAGGTAGAAAAAGATAATATTGCATAATATTTTTAATACAGTCTTAGAGCATACTAATTTCGTTAACTTAAGTTATAAATTCATCTTTGTGTAATGCTTGTTACAGATTCAAAATATATTAAAATCAAATCCGATTATCCTAAGATTCTGTTCATCATCACAACCAAAGAGGTCTAAGCTCGTTGGTTATTGGTTATTAGGATGCAGTGGGATGGTGTTCACAGCGGTTGTTTTAGGTATGGTGTTAGGGTATATAATAATGTTATATTCAGTGTGCTATGTAGTCAACTTAGCAATTACAAGTACCAATGGAAGTAAATAGGCTTAATATAGGGAATACTTGATGTAAGACACAATACAAAATAACACTATATATTTATATAAATAGATTTAATGCTAAATGGCTGTTTTAATGAGTTTCGGTTAGGATATTATGAAACTTTCATGCTAGTTCAGTTATTATAAATTTATGTGAATTGGGGTTTAAATAAAAGTTTTCTGTAATATTGTTGTTTCATTGCTCCCTTTATTTACCAAGAACAAACTTCAGGCTACAGTCAGCCATAAAATTATTCAATAAATTTTAGTTATGTATGAAAGAATTAAATTATAAGTTTATCAATATTATCTACATAAGGAGTAAATGTAACTAAGGCCTATAAAATATGTTTCAGGCGGAGTAACTCGACTCACAGAGTCTGGTCTGTCTATGGTCACATGGAAATTGTTAGGAGAAAAGTTACCGAGGACTGACGAAGAATGGGAGACAGAGTTCAAGAAGTATCAGCAGTACCCGGAGTATATATAGTATGTGTTAGGTTTAAAGAAGTTTATTTCGAAAAAGAACAACATTCGCTTATAAAGGAAATTTTAAAATTATAACTACAATTAAGATGACAAGTAATAAACAGTAGTGATATTAAACAAGATCTTAATCGTTTTTTTAAATATATTTAGAGATTTTGAATTTACAACACTTATTATGTTGACATACAATATGATGAAATAATCAATTAGATTAATTTAGGTGTTATTAAAAATATCTCTAAACATTCTATCTAATAAAATTATGATTTTTATACAGTTATTTCACATCTTGTATTATATTTCGTTGATATTATTGAAGTAATGAAGATAATGTTTTTTTAGTAAGAATAATTCACTGACACTGTCCGAGTTCAAATGGATTTGGTATATGGAGTATGCTCATAGGACGTGGGGTCGTCTTATAGGAGCTTCAGTGTTCATTCCGGCCGCTGTGTTCTGGGCTAAGGGCTGGTTCGACAAGGCTATGAAGATAAGGGTGTCCGCATACTGTGCTTTAGTTGCTGCACAGGTATGTGAAATTGACACTGTGAAGTACTCGACATACTAAACAGCCTTGGAATCCTCTGTTACACTGTCTTACTAAAAGACTTTTCCTAGTAAAAAATTTCTTTTCCTAATGTACATCGGTTGGATGAGTATCCTTGTCTAGGATTTGTGATGACTTTTGCTGGATTTAAGTAATTTTTATAATCTGCATTGTTTTGTGACAAAATGTTAATAGTGCATCTTTTTTTCATGCTATAATAAATAAACATGATATTCTAATGATAGTTCCCACTCTCCAACTTGTCCAGTCATTAAGATACTTCATATTTGAGGATTTTCCATATCATATTTATGAATCAGTACCAGATTATTAAAATCGATTACAAAGTATCTGTAAATTGGATAAATTTGATCTTAGAAGATTAAATCTTTGCTAAGGTCTCCAAGACATTTCTAAAATAATCTCTCTGCTAAGTTATCTCACAAATTACTTTACCTTCCTGTGAGAATTCCATGAAAATCTCATCAATATTTCTGAAGATTATTATTAATTAACAGTAATTATTATCAAGTACTTTGATATATCATAAATCTCTTTAAACCTTGGATCTTGGATCCTGGTTTATGACGTCTCATATATGTATTATTATCATTATATAAATAATCATAACCAATTGTATACATTATTTATACTACCAAGACATAATTAATTTCTATTTTCATGTATATTTTATTATATCCCCAATATAGAAGACTACAGTCTACAGACTACAGTCCCGTCAAGTATAGATTATTATTATTATTTTCTTAGTAATAATAATTGTTTACAATTTTTATTTGTTCTGTTATTAATATTTTCTATGTAACACATCATTTTCAGGGTCTAATGGGTTGGTACATGGTGAAATCAGGTCTTGAAGACAGGTTTCAAGGACCTTCAGACGTTCCTCGCGTATCCCAATACCGGCTGGCCGCTCATCTCAGTCTAGCGTTCATTCTGTACTCGGGGCTACTGGCCGGAGCCCTACGGGTGCTTCGCCCCTTCCCCAAGGGAGCCCTCGTGAGGATCAAGGAGTTGGGAGCAGTCACTGGACTCGCGCATGCCGTTAAAGCCATGGCTTTCTTCACAGCTGTTTCAGGTTAACTACAAACATTGTATTTGGCTGCGTTTTGACAGATGAGTGAGAGAGACTGCCCTTTCCCTCACTTTCCCACCTTTTCCCCTTCTATAAATGTATATAAACGACGGTACTACCTCCATAAGGTAGGACATCTGCTCGATTGCCCATTAGCATAACAAAAAAATTACTTTGTCATACGTATTGAATTAGAATTCCTTAAAATGTATATGAGACTTGTTTGATAAAAAAACGTTATAACCCACAAAAAACTAAAGCCTTACTTATCATATTTCAGGAGCATTCGTAGCCGGTCTCGACGCAGGTTTAGTCTACAATTCGTTCCCCAAAATGGGTGACAACTGGATTCCAGACGACATCTTGTCCTTCGCTCCAACCGTGAGAAACTTCACAGAAAATCCAACGACCGTGCAGTTCGACCACCGAGTACTTGGAACCAGTACATTAATAGCTGCAACCACATTGTGGTTGTTGGCGAGAGGCAGGCCGCTGTCACCAGTCGCGAGGAAAGTCGTGAATGGTGTTGGAGCTATGGCATGGCTACAGGTAATATATTGAACTTATGTTTAGGAACACAAACAACATAAAACTGTAATTAAATAGGGTGGCAATCAGAGGATCCAGGAAAACTACGAAGCTTAGGTACTTATATTATAATAATTGTGCCAAATTTCGTTAAAATCCGTCAAGTAGTTTTTTTTCCATAACGCATATACAGACAGACAGCCAGACAAAAATTTTACTGATTGCATTTTTGACATCAGTAGCGATCCCTAACCACCCCCTGATAGTTATTTTTTAAATATATTTTATGTACAGAAGTGACCTCTCTACAGATTTATTATAAGTATAGATAAGAATTACACATATGTATTAAAATTTAAAACTTATAACCTACACCTAAGACTACATGATTGACCCGATGTTAGGATAGCAATACTATTCCATAGCTTGTGTAGTAGCAGAAATCTTCTGGTTCACAAGGCCATATGAAATTTTTTACCTACAACAATGTTGCTCCGGCGATGTTCATTTAATTATTATTAACATGTTGCGCGTACTTAACACCAATGTCGCCACAATTATTCGATTTAGGTTTAAAAGTGTGCAGCATATAATTAATTTTTTAATGCTGAGAAATACATTTTTTTGTATTACTCTCGCTTATGGTAGTCACCTCCGAATTTCACAAAAGGTTACAAGATACTTGTGAAACATTTGCGTGATATGAAAAAAATTACAATAAAAATACATTTAACTTTTTTATATCTGTCATTTTTTCCTTTATTTCGAAAGATATTTTTCCAATCACATTAATGACAACAGATCCTAACATGATTATCCTAAGATTCATCGTCTTATTATATCTCGTGTGAACTGTAAATCTCACCAATCATCCGCATAGTCCTTAGACTACATACTTTTTTCACCTTTTTTTTTTGTATTGTATCTAGTAAGTTTTGGAGTAAGATCTTAACATTATGTAACTCATGTTGAGTTAGCCTGTACGTGATGATACGCAACTGTAAACAATTATGTTCCATCATGTTATAATGTTGTTATAATTTTTTGTTTATCATTTTGGCTTCCTATTAAATGAAATAAAGAGCTAACCAGCTAATAATAATCTCATTTCCAGGTATGTCTGGGCATCATGACATTAGTTCACTACGTGCCCACACCGCTGGGCGCGTCTCACCAGGCCGGCTCACTAGTGCTACTATCACTGGCTATATGGCTCACTCACGAGATAAAACTACTCAAATATATACCAAAGTAAATTATAACATGCATTTAATTAAACTATATTTTCTTATTCAAACAAAAATGATGCATGTTGCGTTGGCATATAAGTTTGAAGGCAATTATGTAATAGAATCAGTATATATCATGAACTTTTCCCGATTGTATACTTGAACAATATATGTAACAGCAATAACTAAAGAAAATGTTCATTCAAAAAAAAATTATAGAAATGTTTACAGTTTAAAGAGAGCTAATACTTTGTAAGAGACAGTCATTAATAAAATAACAAGTAAGCTTGAAATTAATTGTGAATTAAAGACTTAATAACTAAAATACAGTACTGATATAGAAATACATGAAGTTTTTAAATTATTTTTTCCTATATTATGTTCTCTTTCATAGGAGATTAATAGGGTCGTGAGTATTACAGTTGAAAGTATTTGCAGTGAGTTTGTCCTTGTTATTGTGTAAGTGAAAGCATTTTTGCTTTAAATATGTATGGAAGGTAGTTTTTTATTAGTTCTGTTGAATAAAATGATTTTGTTTGTATATCTTTTTTATTATTACATCAAAACTGCCTTATAAAATGTTAAAATTGTGTTTGGGTGAATAAAAAATAACATTGGCTGAAGTTATTCACAATGTGATTTATTTGAAAATTTAAAATGCTAATATTGCTTACACACTCTACTGTTATATACAATAGGACGACCGAGACGCGAGACTCACTGGCATAGTGATGAAGAAAACACACGCGTTTGTACAGCATATATAAGGATTTAGTGCAACAAAACTCCCGAGTTTGAGTTTAAGAAATATAACCAACAGATGGCGCTGTTAATAAAAACTAAATATTCAAGATTGATATGGAATTAAATCGATTATACTCTCGTACATAACTAATATATAATAGTAAACGCGACCATCTATTGGCAATATATAAACATGGCGTTAAAAGATGTACCCAATATGTTAATTTCATATTAAAATTATTATATATTTAGAATATATAATATATTTCTATCTACATACCTAATAATAATACAGGCGCGTACAATTGTTTCAGAAGGAAATGAAAGTAATAGATTCGAAAATTAAAATACTTATATAAAAAAAGTACTACATTTCAACAAATAATAAAAAAAAATCTTCCTAGAGTGATGGCTGACATATTTGTTGACAAACTTAAGTATTCTTTATATAAGGAATCATAAAATATAAAGAGATTTGGATATTACCCGTAACCGAGCCTGTATGAAATGCAATAACCGTTCGGACTTAACAAAAACGTTGTAAATTAAACAATTCAGTACATTTCCTTGTAACTTAACCTCGGTACAGCGACATTACTTATTGAATCCAAGCTCACCAAATTAAACTATGTACTAAATTAACATTCATAGAATTCATAGCGGTGATGTCTTATAGCAATCAATAAATCTTCACATATAGTAAGAGTAATCCTACACAGTTGACAAATCTCATCAATCAATTATTATTGATTACTATGTAAATTAAATAATATATAGTTACAATTATTGAATATAAATCATTAGCACCAGACGGTAATTCCTAAGTCGAGACAAGTATGTGAGATATATATGTAAAAAAATCTATTTCATCTGTTAGCAAAGTACTATGTATGGTAACCACGGGATGCAAAAATTTATAAGCCTCCAAATATTATATTTAAATCAACTATAAACTATTCAGTTAACACTAGATATTTTTTTAATATATATCTTACAATAATGTACAATAATAAACTATAAAAATAATGGCCATTTGATAACTGGTTGTGAATATATAACGATAATGTAGGGTCGATATTCTCAATACTATTTATGTAGGCCTTTAAAACGTCTCCGATATTCAATAAACATATTTACACATGAAGACCGCAGTCGAGATTTAGAAAAAAAACACACAAAATATAAAACACAGTCAGAAAAACGCACAGATTAATACACAATGTGCATTACATTGATAAATAGGAAAAACAAATGGCGGCAGTGAATAGATTGTGCAAAATAAGTATTACCGACACACAATATAACAACATAGACAATTAAGGTGGCACTTCACTTGGCGTTGCGTATTCGCTGCATTTGTCCAAATAACGCAAACACATTATCCACACTTGGCATGCCAACAACACGTCTTTCTTATTTGTGTATGTGTCTTATTTGTGCAACTATGTCAAACTAGCTTTCCGACCGCAGCTTCGCCCGCGAGGAGTTCTGTTGTATCGCGTTTCCAAGAGAACCTTTCAAAAGTCTGGGATAAAAATTATCCTATGTTCTTTCTCAAGGTCAACTCCATTTCTGTACTAAATTTCATTAAAATCAGTTCAATGGTTTAGGCATGAAAACGTAAGAAATAGAGTCACTTTCGCATTTATAATATTAGTAGGGATAAAGACGAATAAATCTTCCATACATGGTCTTATTTGGCAGAACACAACAAATAAACGCCAAGTGAAGTGCTACCTTTAGATATAGCTGATACAAAAATATGCGGAATAGACAAAAAAAATTTAGATATTAATGTTAAAATGTTAAAACTATCATATGCATTTTAATAATATTTCATTTCCTGAGAAGAACAAAGACTTAATATTTTCTGAAATTTTGTATCTTCATTGTGAAACAATATATGTATATATAATTCCGATGAATTATTAAATGCATGAATACAACCCAAATTATTATATAATATTGTCCAACAAGTGCATTAATAAAGAGTCTTGTTGATAAATTGTCATTTCTTTGTAACACCTTAATTTTCCATAATTAAAAATATAAGCTATAGATAAAAACTAAATACATAAGTCAGAACATTCTGTTAGCATAAATAATTTCATACAACACCGATAAAACATCCTTACAATATTTTGTATTAAAAAAAAAAATCCATATATATATCTATATATAAACATGCGATAAAAATCTTCAGTATATCAGTCAGCTGTAGTTTATATTCCAATTTAGGCTGGCTTACGATCTGGAAATAAAAGACATACTAGTTTATATAAAGGGGAGTACATATGATTGTATGGTGTGTTTAGAAAAACTTATTTTGATTAATAGTTTAAACAAAAACATGTTTTTAAGTAGAATTTGAACACTAATAAGAAAGTGGTGGGTTTTATAAATGTTTAGAAACATTTGGAGCCATCATATGTAAATCTATAGAATTCAAGTGTTAATGCAGAACAGGTGTGTTTTTGCATCCCAAAAGCATTAAAATTGCGCATTTTAAATCATCATTGGTGCCAGCACTGCTAAAAATTTATTTCAATGCATCGCAAGTCCTAGTCACTGTTGAAGCTCCTCTCCATACAACTATGGACCCGACACCCGCACGTTGAATACATTGAATGCTAATAAGTTTATGTATCATTTTAACTTTTGTATTGGGTGGTGCTTGACTGACATTATTAGCATTGGAAGGTGGCATTGACGTCAAAGGTCAATAACCTATTACAGAATTAAGTGTCAAGTTTGATCTCTGTAATGCTAAGTAATTTTCGTCTCATTTTAACTTTTGTATTGGGTGGTGCTTGACTGACATTACCATTGCAAGTTGGAAATGACGTCATAGGTCAATGACCTTTCACAGTATTATCTAGGAAGTTTGATCTCTGTAATGTATGTACATACTAGCTGTGTCGGTTGTCTTCGGGCGCCACGATGACCTGCACCACGTACCCGGGCGTGACCTTAGCGTCCTCTAACACTAGACGATCACCGAGCAGCCGGCCGCCGTAGAACCAACGCTGGCGGACCGGGGAGATGTTCACTAGCGACTGGGGAAAGAAACATATCATGACCATCATCATCAGCCTATCAGAGCCCACTGCTGAGCAAAGGCGTCTTCTCACATGGAGAAGGCTTGAGCATTAATCACCACGATTGCTCACGGGTTGGCGATTTCAAACTTATTTCATTAGTCCAGGTTTCTTCATTTTGTTTTCCTTCATCTGTCAGTGGTGTCTAAATAATTTTAAAAAGTACATTTGATTGGAAGAATCAAAGTACTCGCCAGGATCGAACCTTCGACCTTTTAGAGACGGGACTTTTAGAGGTTAATGGTATAGTTGAACAATAATGAATATATACGACTCTTTAGTTACAAATGTTAAATTTATGTTAGGTAATGAGTATTACTCACATGTAACTTTGCCTTGCAATGAGCGATAGTGTGTTTGGAGCACACAGGTAGGTCCATGTCGGGGGCTCCGGTCGACAGACGCAAGCGGAGCGCCAGGGCTGCGCCACCGTCTACAGGCTCTGAACACTCCGCGGGAGAGTCCCGTCCACTGGCTTCTTTCACCATATTTATTGGTGATGACAGACAATATATAGGAACCTGGAGCAATAAAAACATACTATAGGATATATACGGAAAAGATATTTGTTCAACAGATGGGACACAACTAACATAATATGTTGTATTTGGTCTATTTGTTATGGTACTAATATTTAAAAAAAACGACATTAAATCGAAAACACGTTCAGACGTACTAAATTTTGTGATTTATATTATAAATACTATTTATTTTGTCGGAATTTAATGTCCTGTTTATCATGTTCATTATTCAAATGGTTTTTTATTATATTTTTAATCTTATAAATTTTTGCATGTAACAAAAGACGTTGTTTTTTATATGAGCCATCTTTTTCGTGAATAAATAAACTGCAGATAACTTTGTTGTCGTGATATAAGAAGAAAACAAAAGAAAGTTAAAGACAGCTAAGGAACCAAATTTAAATCTAAACCACACGAGCTTAGGAACAATTATTAAATTGTCATCCAAACTGCTAAACTTTTTGTTATTGACAGAGTATAAAGAGCAAAATATTGTACTTTTTATAACACATCCACATCTTTCATCTTAAAATTTGAAGTCAACGCAAACGAAATCCACAAGTTCCCTCATATGGAATGCACAAAAAACATCAAGTTGTGCAGGAAAATCTTGTTTGGGACATTATACTTGTATATATAAAAAGAGTTCCCGTAAATATTTTGACGTCACTGTGGCTCCTTTTAATACGACTTTCGTAGTTTTTGTTCAACTTGGATCATTGTTAAAATTGCATCTTTCTTATTTAGGCCTGTTTTTTAAACTCTGGCAAATTTTTTAATGTCCACAACATAAGTTCAAGCAGAGTTTAATAGACCTATTTAAGACTATTAGTCAAACATTTTACAAAAAGCATTTTATTACACCGTTTATGTACATTGAAGGAATTTGAAAAGAAAGTATCTCCATATGAAGGTTTGAATAAAATTCTCAAAATTCCGTAACTTTGCGTGGCTTGCTAGAAACTTCTAGAAGATAGTGAATACACAAAAGATACCTGGTAAAGTTTCAGAAAGTAGTAAAAGACAATAGTATTCTCAATAAAGGATACAAGATACAACCACAATTCAACTACTTGATCTTTAAACAAGCATTTTACTCCTACATGGATAAAACCAACAACCTTATTTTGTTAGCTAAACATCAACAGAAACATGAAGAAATAGAATCATTCATTTAGTATTAATCCATTCAACGATAATTTCAGGACTGACAGAAAAGTTTATAGGAAGAATTCTTATACCCTTAAATGTTTTATTACTGAGTATGAACCCCTTATACAGCGAGCTATCATGATTAAAACCGATCCATTTAGTAACAAAAAGTAACCCTTACAAAAACTCAAGCACATCAAATGAAGAAAATGTTGATTAGCCACATTAAGAAGATAGTGTATCCCGATAATCTGACAATTTGATTTTAACTTTAAGAAATATACAAATAATGTCTCTTCGAAATACTAGAGTGTCTATAAGTATTCTTTTTGTTTTGAGGAAAACTGTTAGAATTACAAATAACTTATAATGTGACAGTTTCTATGAGGGGATAAAACAAACTTTGAAGATGAATTTAGTGAGGAAAAAGACTGATGTATGTATTTTAACTTTTACTTACTTTTTATTTATGTTTAATTATCATAATTTTCATGAATTTGTAGTTGTAATGATTTATATTTAATATCACATGAATTATCCAATTTTTGTATGTAAATGCTGAATATAGTCCTATATTGTTTAACTATCTGTAATTTGAAATAATTTTTCTTTGCAGAAAATTATCTTTAAAATCTAACAAGTACCCATAACCTTTGGGTGACTGTAAATTTAGTATCGTTAACTTACTAAAAGTGTTAAGTAATTAAACAAATGATGTACACAAATAATTTTATATGAGATATGCATACAAGGAATTAATAATGAAATAAATTATAAATTAGATATATGTAAGAAAAAGTTAGAAATATTACTCACACATATAAACAATCTTATTGTATACTTACCACAATCACATAATAGTTAATTTTCACACACTCATTAAAACATATTTATGAAGAATAATTGTGAAAGTTATTTTTTTTATTTATAACAAAAATATACTGATTTCCACTATGTTCTGACCAATTTAAGTAAAATTTTAATATTTTTTTATTATGATTAAACTAACTGACCAATTTAAGTAAAATTTTAATATTTTAATTTTAAGTTTATAACAAATATAATGATTGTTTCACCTGATATCTAGTACCCCATTCATCATAGCATTCCGTCAGGTATCCATTAGGTACGGATACACTTGCCCCATCGAGAATAGCTTGAGCCAACTGGAAATCCATTGCCTCGGCCGCCACAGCCGCCGCGCGTAATGCATCCCAGATCTCCTTACGACCTTCGAAAGCAGGAGCTGTGTCCCAAAACTCATCGCGTTTACTTCTAAGTTGACCTTCCGTCAATGGCACATCAGATTTCCAACGAATAGTCTCGTGGCAGAGCGACTGGTTTTTCCTTAGGCCACCTAAAACAAAGACCGCTTTAGCCCAACACGATAGTTACCACGGCGACAGTTAGCTCACCTTACACCTACCCGAATTAGGCCGCGACACAGTCCCCGAAGATTCCTCGTTGGGACCGCTTCTGCTTCTAGTTATTCCGATACAACCACCCATCGTGATTACATTCTATATTCACCCATTTACAAGATATATACAAAAAAAATATTAACAAATAACATTTTCTCGTCCACTACTGACACTACTGTCAAAAAATTAGCTGTATAAGTTTTATTATTGCATTGACCATAATAATTTAAAACGTCACTGTGGTGTAAATTATTTTCAATGAAATATTTGTAATTGAATAGTGACTTTGATTAAACTATAGGTGATGAAGGTAAAATATATTTCATATTATGATTAATAAAAATTGCTTTTAGTATCAACCAAACGTTACGTTATATTGTAAGACAATATTTAAGTACCTATTTATGGTTAAAATATAATTAAAAATAAGCCAAATTTATTTTGATACCTTTTTTAAATCTTTTTTTTTATATGTTTAAAGAAAATGTTTGAAAAAGCTTTTATTCTTACAAACATTCATTATAGTTCAAAACAAATCAATCTATTACGTTGATCTTCTATTTTCACTTCTTCAATCTAACTTGATCACTAAAGTTAAATTAAACCATAATCCAATGTTTCTTAATTGGTAATGTTTGTCTCTTACATTCTTTATATGACTTTTGACATCGGCTTTTAAATGTCAAAAAGTTCACAAAATGAAATTTTGTTATGTAGGTACATGTCCATAAGAATTACAATGTGCAATCTATTGAGCTAATCAAAGAATTAAATAGGGTATAAATAATATTTATTCATTAAAATATTCCGACCCCGTATTCAACATAATTCAAAATTATACATAATAATTCTATATTATTTATATAACAAAAGTTTTAATATAAAGATATTTACTTATATTTCTTAAAAGACTGTATGTTTATTACTGTAATACTGGATCCTATTTAGGATGAACGATTACTCTTCTTTTATAGACAAACACAAAATAATTAACGTAAGTATCAAAATGTATGCTATAAATTTAAAATTAATTCAATTGTAACATAAATTTTTCACAAAAATACAGATTGAAATTAGTTTTTTTATTATTATTTTCGTAGGCTGAACCCACAGCATGCTATGTATCAGAGTTTATAACTCCAGATGAAGAAAAATACATATTAAATAACATTTATGCTGCTCCCAAACCAAAATGGACTCAGCTGTCCAATAGAAGATTACAAAATTGGGGTGGAATTCCACATAACAAAGGAATGATAGCCGAAGATATAACAGGATGGCTGCAAACATATTTGGATAAAATACATTCACTAAATTTAATGGAGGGAAATAAGCCTAACCATGTTTTAGTTAATGAGTATCTGCCGGAGCAAGGAATATTACCTCATTTAGATGGATTCCTATTTTATCCCACGATTACGACTATATCTGTTGGATCTCATACAGTATTAAAGTTTTTTGAACCGTCCGATAATGATTCATTGAATCATGTATTCTCCTTGTTGTTGGAACCGAGAAGTCTATTGATATTGCAAGATGAAATGTTCAAACGTTACTTACATGGCATAGAAGAAGTAAATGAAGATATTATAGATGACTCTATTGTTAATATAAATATGTGTTCAGATCAATATGTAAAAGGCACAACGGTAGCTCGTGGAACAAGAGTGTCGTTAACAATAAGACATGTGCCAAAAACAACTAGCTTTAAAATTAAAATTGGCAATAAAAGATAATAATGACATTTTCAGTGTTTTCTTTATATATTTTTTCTTTAATCAAAATATGTATAATCATTTACAATTAATTAACAATATATAATGAACAAAATTAAATGAAAATACTTAAAAAAGATAGTGTTGTCAGGATTAGGAACTAGTGTTTTTATAAAAGTGATTTAATTTATTTAAACTTCATACATTGAAATAAACAAAAAATATAAGTAAAAAACATAATGTTAAAAAACTACAATCTAGATGGTCTGAATCACAAATTTCCTATGTCTACCTTTTGATATGGCTTTTACAAAATTATTTTCGAGTGTTAATTTATGGAGAATTAGTTATAGTACAATATCAAAGAGATATTGTAGTTCAGTCTCAGAAGATTCACTCAAGTGTGGGAAGAAACCTGATGAAGCTAAGCAGAGCAGTCACAGTAATGAACAATCAGACAACAAAGTGAGTCGATAATTTTCTATATACACTGAATAAAAATATTCTATTTCGATTCAAAGAATATAGAATGTAATAAGAAAATGTAGATTACATTGGCTCATAAAAGTTATTGCCAATATCTTAAGATTAAAGCAGAAATAATCGTTATAATAAAGATTTCATCCGCCTTAAACATTATTCCAAATATTTTTTTTTGTGTTAATCTCAGAAGGGTTTGGTGCTTGGCGTATATGAAGAGGGAGAAAAGTTTGAATTAACATCAGTCGCTGAGGAAATAAACCAGAAGAGTGGCGGCAAGATATGCAAGCATTTGAACGAGTTAGTAATTTAATAATTATTATTTTATTGTCAATTATATGGACGTATCTTTTAAACAGATTTTTGGATGAAACTATTCTATACTTTTCCGATATACCTACTACGCGTACTTTTTTTTTGTTATAAACTACATACTCCCGAAGTTTCGGTTACTTTTCAGCAACCGTGATCACGGGCAGATGAGGTATGAATGTGAAACGCCGGTATAAAAATAAAACACGCGAAGTTTATCCGAAAAATATTACATAGTTTCATTTAAATAAATACTTGCGAGTCTTAGATCTCATTAGATTTTAAATGTTTATAATTTGAAACGGTTATTTCTATTTTCCTATATCAGAATCTCATGTCACCTGAAACTTGGCAAAGCATTCGTGGTGACGGATATTTTAGAGGAGTTTGGACCGGTGGCCATAGCGTCCCTCGGCAAGAAGAGTCCAGGGTACAATGAATTGGAGATGTTGGATGAAACCAGGGTAGTTTATTATTATTACATAAATTACAGCCTATATTATATTTGAAGTATGAGCTATATTTTTAAGAATTATTAAAATTTATCCAGTCAATTTGCTTGAAGAATAACAAAGATCAATGTAACCGTTTTCTCACTTATAGAATTAATTATTTACGTACATATGTGTTTACAATAATTAAAATATTTGTCATTGACTCTAAAAAATCTTAGTAAAGTCGCTCAATATCCCATTAGGACTGACCAGGCATTTAAATAAATAATCTACAGTAGTAGAAGTATAGTACAAATTGGTACCTATAGTATCTACTTGTGGAATTTTCTTCTATAAGAGTTAAATATTTAGGATTTAAAGTAATAAAAGAAAAGAAAAAAAAAGTAATAACTATAGCTATTTAATAACTTAAAATATTTTTAAAAGGTTCTTGAACTACCGTCTGTCATAACGAAGAAATGTCAAACGAACTTCATAATCATTTTATACATAACACAAGTTTTTAGACAATTTAAAGATTTTTGAGTTTTTCAACTATTTGTGTCAGGAAAATCTCCGCGTGGGTGTGGGTGTAGGAGTTCGTGAGTTGGTGAACAGAGGTTGTGATCGTGTTTACGTGGATGGAGGAACAGAACCTGACGCTGCTGCTGAGGCCGCTCATCTTGCTGCTTGGAGGTTAGTAATTAAAGTATTTACGTATTACGCTAGACGCGAAGCCCGTGCCACTTTTATGCGCTCGCTAGCTTGTACGCTATACGTATTATAATTTATATATTTACAGTTAATTGTTTTGTGTTATTGCTTCGTACTGTGCCTTCTATAAACGTTTGTATCTTCACTTCTATCTTCCGTACGCTTACTATTTCTCCTTCTGTGTGTGGACTTATATGTGTTAATAAAGACTGTCTATCGAAGTTAAATCTTAATAAGTTTTACTCGCACTCCCGATAGACTTATTACCATCTCCTATATAAGTACTCTTTTACATGTTCAATGTTGGTATTGTCATAAGATATGATACTAATCTTGTTCTTCAATAGACTATGTTTTTTTTTACATATAAGCCGTTCCTAAATAAATAATTGTCAATCAGGTTTGAGGAGTTCAAATCGTCAGGGTCGAAGTCTGTCAAGACGGATGTGTTCCTTCAAGGGTCGGGCGAGGAGCTGTGGAAACGCGGCACGATATTCGGCTCCGGACAAAACTGGGCCAGACACCTCACAGACATGCCTCCAAATAAGATGACGCCCGTTGACTTCGCACAGGTATATGAAGGGAAAACTTGCAGATCATACTTAAGGACCAAAACTGGTTGTAAAATTGGAATAGCGTTTGTCGTGTGTTAAAAAATGAGTGAGTCTTCACCGTTAACATCATCATAATTTTATCAGAGCACACTGCTAAGTAAAGGCCTCTTCTCACATGTAGAAGGTTTAAGCATTAATCACCACACTTGCTCAAACTTACAATTTCAAATTATAAGTCCAGATTTCCTCATGACGTTTTTCTTCATCTGTCAGTGGTATCTAAATGCTCTTAGAAAGTACATATAACTCGGAAATACACATTGTTACATGCCAGGTTTCGAAGCGAGAGGCGGGCCTTTAACTTCTAAACCACCATGACCTTATACTCATTCCTTACCCGTAATTTTATACAAGTTATACAAATAAAAAACATACATATTAATTAGAAAAATACTTACAAAAACAATACACACACAAATAACATTTAAAACTAAAACATATAAACATAACACGAGACATAAATACAAACTTGAATTACCCAAGACCAGGACCAAATATGGAATTAAAACTATACAGTTTGAGGGAGCGAAACTATACAATGGCTTGCCTGACGAAGTTTTCCATGAAAAAACGTTTGCGATTTTTAGAAGGAAATTATTGGGTTATTGTAGGGAGCACTTGGATTAACCACTCTTGAGTTGTATGGGTCGTTGCTACTGTACTGAATTGTTAATTAAATCTAATATATAAAATTCTCGTGTCACGGTGTTCGAACTTGAACTCCTCCGAAACGGCTCGAACGATTTTCGTGATCCTTATCGAGGATACTAACCAGGGGGGAGTATCGGCCAACATCTATTTTTCATCCCCCTAAATGTTAAGGGTAGTCCACCCCTAAATTTTTGTGTAATTTTTTAGGCAAAATTTTTTGTTTTTATTTTTTTATGACACAGCCTACAAAAATACATACAACCCTAAATTTTCACCCCTCTGAGATAAACCCTTATTTTTTAATTGTTAATTAAAAACTTTAATTTTTTGCCAATTTTTTTTTTATTTTTTGATGACTTACAATAAAAAATCTCATATTACTCTAAATTTTTCACCCCTCTACGATCAACCCCTATTTTTTAATAAAGAAATTAACATCATTCAAATAAAAACTAACATATATTTCTTGCTTATAAGGCGGTACGAAGTTCGACGGGTCAGCTAGTTAAATTATGTAATACTTCTCATTCAAGTGAACATCTTATGTTCTTTATGAGAAAATAAAGTTCTTTAAGCACAATGTTTATTTTTGTCTTTTTTGTTTAGTCCATGTAATTTAATTTTATTATGGTCTTGATATACCAACTGTTGTTATTGTTTAGTACTAATACATAGTTATCTCCTGTATTGGAATTTGTTGGCAATAATTGGTAATCCCGTCATGTTGTGCATGCAGCCTTTGGGTTATAATCTGTTCGATACTATTAATGTTTAAGATATATTCTCTATGTGATTGTGACCTGTTGTGTTTGCCTTAATCTATATATATAAAAATGAATTGCTGTTCTTTAGTCTCGCTAAAACTCGAGAACGGCTGAACGGATTTATCTTATCTTAGTCTTGAAATGTTCGTGGAGTTTCAGGGAAGGTTTAAGAGCTGAAAATATTGATTCATTTTCGGGAAAACCCTAAAAGCAGCCTTTTTCTATTTCCCATACAAAGGTTTTTTTTTTACATTAGATTTGACAACTAATTAATATGTCAATCATTCTGTCGCACTTCAAAATACGGAGATTTATGGCTTAAAGGTTGATTATAGAGCGATACGAAGTTCGCCGGGTCTTCTAGTAAATAAATAAAAAAATAAATGTTATCAGGCGGTGCTAGACATGTTATGTCCCCTGGGTGTGCGCGTGACCGCTCACGATCCTTCCTGGATTGAAGCCCAGCATATGGAGGCGCTCCTCTCCGTGGCCCGCGGTTCCTGTGAGCCGGCCGTGTTCCTCGAGTGCGAGTACCGGGCGGGAGGAAACCGGCCGCCTGTACTGCTGGCCGCCAAGGGGATCACCTTCGACAGGTGAGCTGACGTCATCATTCCAGTGACGTCATCGTCACGTGACATATGACTTACAAAAGGAGAAAAGACTAATTGTGTTTTGTCTATATAGTTCTTACTTATAGTTTGAATAGACGGCGTCTGATTTAAATTTAAAAGAATATAGTTGTTGAAACAATATGTGGTGTAATAGGAATCTCTAATAGTTTGTTTGGTTTTCATTAGAACGAATATGTATTGTATGTAACCAGTGGCGGCTGTACCTTAAGTGCGCCCGTGCGCTGAACCACCAATTCAAAATATTTAAAAATTACAAAATATTATGTCATCTTAATGTTTAAATTACCATTTTAATATTTATTTTTTAAACATACAAAAAGGTATAAAAAATTTAATTTCCAATTATGGTCAAAAAGTTTGAGCGCTTTACTAAACTCATATCGTGCGCTCCGGCGAGTGCACGAGGACTGCTAATACATCTTGTATGAGACACGCTTTAATACGCCTGGCGCGTGAGACAAAAGATAGTTCATAGAAATGTACCGAGTAACGAGTCGGTTCTCGCGCGCCGCACGAAGCGGCCGAAGGTTACCGAGAGCACCCGATGTATGACGTATTGAGCCGGCCGGCAAGGGGCCGGCCGAAAGGATGGGTGCTATGATTGACATCTCGTTAATCGTTATTGGTATTGTTTCAACTTTCACTGTATGCGTGACGCGTTAATTCGTTATTGTTTATAATTATTTCCGTAATTCGTTTTAGTTTTTATTTCGTTTCTATAATAGAACTTTTATTCTGTACTGTGTTTTTTATTAGTTGAAAATGAGTATAAATATTGATTATATTAAAGAAAATAACAAAATTTTTCAAAGTAAAGTGAACATAAAATTGGCCGGGCCGCCACGGCCCTTTTTAAATTTAAAACAAGAGTGTAAATCGAAAAATAAAGCATTTATACGAAGTTTTAAAAGTGAAATGTATAATAGAAAGAAATGGTTGTGTGGATGTGAGCGTCTTAATGCATTCTTTTGTTTTCCTTGCATTATTTTTGGCGGAGAATCGATTTGGACAGAAACTGGAATCAGATTTTAATAAAAAGGTGATAGAACATTTCGCTACAGAAAAATGTCGTCGCATTGATTTAATGTACAAAAAATAAACATATTTTATGTCAATTGTTGTTTTTGTCAATATTTTAGTAAAGTGAACCACCAGTTCGATAACCCACCAGCCGCCACTGTATGTAACTATTATTCATTTCTGTGTTCAATTTTATATGAAGTCCATGATTTAAGTTCTCAAGATCAATATCTAAAAACTGATTATATGTTAGTGAAAGATAATATTTTTGATATATTTTTTATATAAGTGTCGCGGTCGTTTATTTTTTCATAAAATATACTTATTATTATATAGAGTATTACTTTTATTTAGATATAAACTTTGAATACAACGACAGTTTAATATGCTATAACATTGAGGCGTCATAAAATATGTGTGAATCAAGATTTCCAACACAGAAAATGTTTTTTCCATATCGTAATGTTATTTATTCTATATCCAGTGGAGGTTTATGTCTGAAGAAAGCGGATGAATTGCGTGAGAACCCGGACAGTCGCGCGGGGGCCGCGGCTACTGTTGGAGCTCTGAAGATACTCGCTGAGATGAAGGTTAAACAACTAACATACTAGGGTGACTGGGGAATTACTATCAATATTTAAAGAGAATACTCGGTACATGATTCTCATTCGAATTATGTAAAAAAAATAGGTATTTAATTTTTGACCTTTCCGTCTAAATAAATAAAGTGTGGACACGTTCCAAGTGTTCCAAGTGTGGACGCATGCGGCGGCGTGCTGATACAACACCACGCCGCCGCACGCGTGTGTCGCTACCCCCAACCCCCGCCCCGTGGCTAATTAGTCGGGCGAGCGCCGCCGTATGGTCTGTACGTCCGTCTTCCCGCGCGCGCGCGTAGCGATCGATCTTACGCGTGTTCACACGATGCGTAATTAATTACATAACTTTTGGTTAACTTTACTTAGAAGTTTATTAATATTTATGTTATATTAATTTTTATTTTCTCATAAGTATATGATCGTCAAATATCACGTCCTCAAGTATCGATAGTAATTCACCAGTCACCCTATATATACTGTATTAAAGATTAAAGGAGTTAAACAGATAAAAAGAGACACTCATAAACCACTTCTAGGTCAAGAAGGTGGTAGTATTTGACATATGGTTTAAAAATATTTTTTTATCACTCTCAGTTTGTCTTATTGATTTTAAAAAATTAGTTAAATTCTTTAAGCGTATAGGTACATTTGTTTCTATATTTAACATTTAATTAATATAACGATTATTTAGTTTAACTAACCGTCATCATGATACCCGTTAGCTAGACGATGTCTCAAATAATCCCTACTAAGATTATAAATGCGAAAGTAACTCTGTTTGCACGTTTGTTACGCTTTTAAACCACTTAACTGATTTTAATGAAATTTGGCACAGAGATAGAGTTGACCTTGAGAAAGAACAGAGGATAGTTTTTATGCCAGAGTTTTGAAAGGTTCTCTTGGATAGGATGAAGAAGAGTTTTGGGAGGGTTGTATTATAGTATATCAGATAATACACGATTTACCAAAAATCTTAGGGTATAATGTATGTAAGGTGTGTATTTCCAGGTGCCTATTAATGTAGTGGCCGTGATCCCGCTGTGTGAGAGTATGGTCAGCGGCAGCTGTATGAAGGTTGGAGACGTGTTGAGGGCTCTCAACGGACTTACCATGCAGGTCAGGGATACAGACATAATATATCCTACTAATATTATTATTGCGAAAGTTAATTAGTGTGTATGTTTGTTACTTCTTAACGCTCAAACTGCTGAACCGGTTTTGATAAAATTTTGTATACAGGAAGCCGACGTCCAGGAATAACACATAGGCTACTTTACATCCCGGAAATCCGCGGGTGACACCGCGGGGCGCAGCTAGTATTTATATATTGTTCATTTTAGAGTTTTGTGTCTTTTGGTAGTGGTATACATCTTCAAGAATATGCCATAAGAAATAGAATAATAGTTTATCACTTATGTTTTATCTTCTATTAATGTGATTTTGTTCTTCGATATCTTTAAAATTCTTTGACTGGCTAATTTGTATAAATAACATTTAAAAAGTATCATTTTTCATTCAGGTGGAATGCACGGCTCAAGCGGGTCGCCTCACTCTAGCAGACGCACTTGTCTATGGTCAAGCTAAGCATAGACCATCGCTTGTTATAGATCTTGCATCATTAACTAGTAAGATTTCATCATACATATATATGACATACTAAAATAAGATTTACTTGTAGGTTAAATGAGATATTTATATGGAGGGTAGGTTTGAAAAGATCTGGGTCTTTAACTGTTATCTAAATTTATATATACTGTTGTATAAGTGTTATTAAGGTTCTTTTTAAATTAACTTTATTATCATTCATACCAAACTTATATATTCGTCGATCTGACATCATTGTTATAGTGCGTTTGATTTAAGCTGAGCTTTGCATTTGTGTGAGTGCACACGGATAGTGTAGGTGTGATGTCAAATTTTTGGATGCCACGTTCTTTTCTAGTTTTGAACCGGTTTATTCTGCTTTTACTCCGCCCCGCACCTTCCTCACTTCACCTTTTGTACTGATAGCAATATCAAATGTTGAAAACGCAATGTCAAGTCAATAAGAATTTGTATAGTTTTTTCAAAATTCTTATTAATCAATAATTTTTTTTTTCATAATATTTCCATCTGGACTTTTACAAGTTTTGCTTATTTTATAGCTCTTATGTTATGTATCTATTTAAAATATAATAGAATTTAATTCTATAAGTTTTTTGTGTAACTCTACTTTTACTTTCACGCACACAAATGCAAAGCTCAGCTTAAGTGTAACGGACTATATGTTGTATTATATCGCCATCTGGCTTTCAATTACTTCACCTCATTCATTTTTTCTATCTATCTTCAGAGGGAGTGCAGCTAGCTACAGGCAGCGCAGCTTTCGGTGTGTTTAGTTCAAGCGGTGAGGCGTGGACAGCGTTGGCTCAATCCGCGGCTCGAGCTGGTGATAGAGGCTGGAGACTTCCACTGTGGACCTACTACAGAACTATGATTGATGGTAAGATGAGATAACTAAGACAAAAAAAACCTTATGTTTAAATCTATATATATAAAAATGAATAGCTGTTCTTTAGTCTCACTTAAACTCGAGAACAGCTGAACGGATTTATCGTATCTTAGTCTTAAAATGTTCGTGGATGTTCAACCTTCCCGGTAACCTTCCCGGTTTAAAAGCTGAAAAATTTATTAATTTCAGGGAAAACCCTAAAAACAGCCTTTTTCTATTTCCCATACAAACGTTTTTTTTTGACATTAGATTTAACAGCTAATTAATATGTCAATCATTCTTTCTCACTTCAAATCACGGAGATTTATGGCTTTAAGGTAAACTACAAAAATATAAATTAAAAAAACGTATATAACAGATATTTCTTGATTATAGAGCGATACGAAGTTCGCCGGGTCTTCTAGTTTAACAATATTAATTGAATGTAATTGTTACCGCTGTCAGTGCATTACATTAGGAGATCACTGGAAATCAGTGTACAAGCAACATTGCTTCTATTTTTCACTGAGTGGTTCTCCTTTTGGTTAGATAACAGTGCTGCACTTATCATTATTGTTATTGATTTTTATTTTGTTATTTGTTTTGTAGTGGTGTAATATTTTAACCAATAAAAAAAATCTTGGTTGGTACGTCGACCAGTGATCTAAGATATACATTAATTGGTCATTGGTCTATCGAACTGAGGTTCATTATAAGATGGGCGGATGAGAACAGTGATGTATTAATGGGTCAATACTCAATAGGCTATTAAGTTGACATAAGAGGATTGAGATATTTCGGTATTTGACAAAAATATTTTATAACAAAAATTTCATATCCCTACTAATATTATAAATGCGAAAGTAACTCAGTCTGTTACGCTTTCACGCCTAAACCACTAAACTGATTTTAATGAAATTTGATACAGAGATAGAGTTGACCTTGAGAAAGAACAGAATAGTTTTTATCCCAGACTTTTCAAAGGTTTTCTTGGAAACGCGATACAACCGAACTCCACGCGGGCGAAGCTGCGAGCGGAAAGCTAGTCTTTTATATTTTACTAGCTTTTGCTGCGGCTTCGTCCGCGTGGAATAGTTACTTCCGACAGATTTTTGGTTCTTCCCACATAGTTCCCGTTCTTGCGGGGTTTTCGGAATGATCGAGTTCCCGTAGAATTTTCAGGATGAAATCTATGTTTTTTTTATTAATAATGAAGTACTCTTAACCAAGAACATATTTATTTGTTTACTAGAAGACCCGGCGAACTTCGTACCGCCCTATAATCAAGAAATATCTATTACGTTTTTTTATTTATATTTTTGGAGTTTACCTATTACAGCCAAAAATCTCTGTGTTTTGAAGTGTGACAGAATGACTGACATATTAGTTAGTTGTCAAATCTAATGTCAAAAAAAACGTTTGTATGGGAAATAGAAAAGGGCTGTTTTTATGGTTTTCCCAGTAATGAATCAATTTCTTTCAGCTTTTATACCTTCCCTGAACCTCCACGAACATTTCAAGACTAAGATAAGATAAATCCGTACAGCTGTTCTCGAGTTTTAGCGAGACTAAGGAACAGCAATCCATTTTTATATATATAGAAGATATGAATAAAGATTAATATTATTATTTTGATACAGCTTAAACAAATTATTTCGACCAAATTATGTGACATAAAAATGGTTTTTGTGAGTTAATCTTAAAAGATAGACATATACTGTCGGGGACTGTTTTCTAGATCATTAAAAGAGCTATTATTCTTTAATACATATTTTTTGTGAATCTTGAACCGTTTTCACGGCGCACGCAACGGAAGGCTTCAAAGATGAAATAATTTCTCCCGTTTTTTACACATTTACCACTATATCTTTGCTCCTATTGGTCGTAGCGTGATGTTATATAGCTCACAGCCTTACTCGATAACTGGACTACCCAACACAAAAAGAATTATTCAATACGAACGAGTAGTTTCGGAGATTAGCGCTTTCAAAGAAACAAACAAACAAACTCTTTAGCTTTATAATATTAGTATAGATAAGTAAAATATAACGTATGTAATAATGTTGATCAATCATTTGACGTGTTTCAGATGATCCTTCCGTGGACTTGAGGAACAGGGGCCCAGGGACGGCTGCTCCGTGTGTGGGAGCCGCTTTTCTTAAGGTTAGTGTAGATATGTAGTTTATTACCATTGGCTTTATTTCTATTCAGAAGTTATATAATTTTAATCTTAATTAAATTACCGTCACGTAAACGTTATCACGATCACTGTATCCATTTTTTTTTAATTTTACCTATACAGGGTGACTGGTGAATTACTATCAATATTTAAGGAGCATACTCGGTACATGATTCTCATTCGAATTATGTAAAAAAATAGGTACTTAATTTTTGATCAAATTTCCGTATAAATAAATAAACCGTGGACACGTTCCAAGTGTTCCAAGTGTGGACGCGTGCGGCGGCGTGCTGATACAACAACACCCTCCGCGCGCGTATGTGTGAGTGTGTGTGTATACCTAATCTGTAGGGTGTTCATACGATGCGTAATTAATTACATAACTTTTGGTTAACTTTACTTAGAAGTTTATTAATATTTATGTCATATTAATTTTTATTTTGTCATATATGATCGTCAAATATCACGTCCTCAAATATCGATAGTAATTCACCAGTCACCCTGTATATTTTGATTGACTTTTTTTGTGGAAGACATATTCGACGAAGTAAAAATCTGTGATTTTTCTTTGGGACATCAAAATATACTTGAATTTAAATCTCTGGATTATGGAATAGGCAAACGGAAAACCAAGAATTTGTGTATAAATTGTCTAAATTACCATTGCTCTCATTGTTTATTAAAAACTATGTATATACCAAAAAAAGTAGTCCTCTATACATACATACATATCAATAAAATTAAATCTACCCATTAGTCTGTTTACATTTTTTATCTTGTCTCGTCGGCCGGGTCTAATTGAGGTATTTCCTCATCAGAACTTCGTATGTGCTCCTTGGCTTCACCTGGACGTGTCGGGTGTGTCCCGGGGCGGGACTCCATACTTACCCGCGCCCCGGGCCGCCGGTCGACCTGCTAGGACACTCGCTGAATTCCTTACAGCCGCTGGTCAGTTATAGAAACCATTCTAATCTTTATATATATAATTCTTCTGTGAGTGTGTATGTCACTGAACTACTCTCAAACGACTGGACCGATTTTGATGAAAGTTTTTGTGTGTGTTCAAGGGGATCTGGGAATGGTTTAGATTCACAATTTTGTCCGCTGGACAATGTTTTTTTTAATTCATTTTTAATTTATTAATAGTTGTTGATACAAACGTTCATTAGATTTGACAACTAACTAAGATGTCAATCATTCTGTCGCACTTCATAACACGTAGATTTATGGCTTTAATGGTAAACTCCAAAAATATAAATAAAACAACGTAACAGATATTTTTTCATTATAGGGCGATACGAAGTTCGCCGGGTCTTCTAGTATAATATATATTACAACTCAGCAGAAGAAATTATATATACTTATATCTGATGTTATCTAGGTTTTGACATAGATTAATTTCTAAGCGAAAATATTTTTGTATGTATGAAATTGCAAGTCCTAATATTTCATTTTGGTGTGAGCGCTGTGTGCGTACTTTTTATTATGTATGACTTAATGTTTTGCTATTATTGTATTAGAACATCATCATGTTTGTCGTTTGTTGTAAAGTTTATGTAAGGAAAGTATTTTCTCAAATAATTTATTAAATTAAATCTCTTTTCAGGTACAGCAAGCGCAAATGTCAAGGACTCTGACTCACCAGCTACATCTTAAAAATGTTTTTATAATGTACAAGTTCATTTGTTAATGTCTAAATCAATCAAATCCTGATTGTAATTTTTAATCAAAAAACTACTTTTTGACTTGACTGTTGTTTTTTTAATATTTGTATTATAATCTTTTTTCTTAACTAATAGCGTCAAAATGTGTCCATCGGTAGCGCATGTATTATTTTAAAACTTTCAATTGTGTCCAAAGTTGCTATAATTAAACGTTACCGCTTTCTCAATTTAGCATTTATCCCTGCCATCTAAACGAATTAAAACAGTACTTAGCACTATTGTCTTGCGAGAGGGTTTGAGAGGTACAACACAAAAACTAGTTATTTCCTTTTTATTTTTAATTTATTATAGACATATGGCTGTGACTAAAATCCTACCTAATGGAAATAGAAATTGCAATCGTTGGTGACAAACTATTCAAATCAAGTGTAATAAGGGGAATCAGGAATAATATTTTCTACACACTGTCTCCTAAAGAGTATCCCATATTATGATAAGAAAAAACTAGATAGGGTTTACGTAAATCGCATGCCTCTCCACGGAGTCCAAAGCACAAACCCACTAGGTGCCATTTAGCAGCATCTGTCTAATAGTTTCTTAATAGTCAGTAGTATCCATGAACAGAACTGGTCTTTGTAGAGATCCACAAGCTGTTCTGAAATTTAATACTGGCGTACCTTTGCACGGACTACTTGCTGGTATAGTAGCATTACACTCAGTATCAAGGTTTGTGGATAACTCAATTTTAAATTTCATAACATGGACATGGCATGGCATACTACAACATCTAATACTTTTTTTTTTTTTTTTTTTTCTACGAGGGGAATCTTTTAAAGACTTCCTGCCGCGGGGGAAACGCGACAGGGGCATGTGGGATTTCCACCCACTAAACCACCTCGACGTTCTCTGCGCTGTGCGTAGACTAGTGAGCGGGAACGGCAAGCCATACTTCCGCTCACTACGCACGAGTCCCGAAAGGGACTCCGCCATCGGCAGGGGCATCAGTGGCTGACCACACCACCCCTCCGACTCAAGAGCAGCGTGCCGGGAACGCCAAACACGCCGCTCTTCCTCTAGCCTATGTTACCCGGACGCCGGTTCCCCGCCGACGCCCGGAGGCTTCCTCACTGGGGAGGCAGGTCGCGAGCATAAGCCCGCTGCCTTCGACCCAGCCTTCGTCGGCGCAGCGGCGCCGAGGAGGGGTCGTCTTCCCTTACTCGTTCAGCAGCCTCCTTCTGCAAGATGACTCTCTCGCTGAAGTCGGCCACCGCCTGCCATGCCCTCTCGCTGCCGACCATGGCCTGGACCACTGCCGGCAACGAAAGGTCTGCGCCAACCACGCGGATGAGTTGGCTACGCTCGGATATCCACGCTGGACATTCCATCAAGGTGTGGTCAGCGGTGTCTTCCACGCGACTGCAGTGGTGACACCCCGCTGTCGGCTCTCTCCCGACTATGTGGCACAAATACCTCCCGAAGCAACCGTGCCCCGAGAGGATCTGCACCAGCCGGAAGGTCAAGGATCCGTGTCGGCGGTCCACCCACTCCATGAGGAGCGGGCGAATAGCCTCCACGGTTCGCAACCCGGCCACTGGCTCAGAGAGCCTTTGCCTCCACCGATGGAACAAGGACGACCGCGCAGATCGTCGCCAACTATCCACCCGATCCCGGTCCGGACTCGTTCCCCGGGATCGATCTCGCGCGCGCTGGTGGTAAACCTCCGCCAGAACCTGGGCATCCAGTTCCCAGGGAGGCGTCCCAGCCAGCACGCAAGCCGCCTCATGAGAGACAGTGCGGTATGCTCGTACCACCCTCACCGCCATGACGCGCTGCACTCTGTGCAGCGCAGCCACGTTCGGCCTTGTGAGGGCACCGACCCACACTGGAGCTCCGTACAGCGCCATTGAGCGTAACACACCGGTGTATAAACGCCGGCATGCCACACTCGGACCGCCGAGATTGGGGAGAAGCCTCCCGAGAGCATTCGCCGTCCCGAGGAGTTTCGGGACTAACCCGCGAAAGTGCTCCCGGAAGTTCCACCTTCCATCCAGAGTCAGCCCCAGATATTTCATCCGGGGACTGAGCTCGACGCGGACGCCGCGGATGGTGATGCAGGCGCCCGTCGGAGGTCCTGCTCGAGGGCGGTGGAACAGGAGGGCCTCGGTTTTGTCGAGACCCACCCTCAGCCCGAGCATCTCGATGCGCCGTACTACTAAGGCGGCTCCCGCCTCGGCACGCGCCTTCGCCTCTGCTAGGTCATCGCCTCGAGCTACAACGAGCGTGTCGTCCGCATAGCAGACGACGCTCAGCCCGGTTGGGAGGGCACCGCGGAGCACGAAATCGTACCCAAGGTTCCACAGGAGAGGCCCAAGGACCGACCCCTGCGGAACACCGCAGCGCACCTCGTGACGATGCAACCTACCGTCGCTCCCCACGAACGAGATCTCCCGTCCGCGGAGGTAGCACCCGATTACCCGCCGGATGTAGTGCGGCAGTCTATGGTGTACAACATCTAATACTTATCTGGTAATTGCTAATGCTACGGAACCATCAAGTCGTAGACATACAACCCCAACGAATATTTAGCAATCTGCAGATTAAATCGAGGTATTTTTTTTTTCTTCCAGAAACTAAATCATCTCTAGGTGCTTACATTTTTAAGGAAATCATCGGTTTGTCCAAATATATGGAGCGGTAGACGCATTTAGTATTTGTACATAGAAAAGCCAGAAGGGATCATGTAGGTATTTGAATATTATCAAAGTATTGCCGATTCTTAATTCACCATTTTCCTTACAAATAAAATCGGAAAAGAATGTGTCCTTTCAAGACAGTTTAGTAGGTATAGTGTATCATATAAAAATTTAAATTGATTTCAATAGTTTTAATTTAGTTTGGAATTATAAATTGCTATATTAATTAATAATTTTGAAGACAACAGAAAAATATTCGTTTTGTACACACTCTGTGAAAAAATCAATAGTTAAAAACCACGAGAAGATTCTGATTGCATACAAGGCGTCATAGACAATCAATTAGTAGATAAATCGTAACACTCAATGAAAACCGATTTCAACAAGGAAACATTGGACTGGGTGATTTTCACTATGCACTTGTACTTCTGAAAACTGAGACAGTTCAATCACAGTGTGGTCGCCAAGACTGTGCCTTTATGCGGAAGCTACTTTGAAATCGCAGTACCTCACTTGAATGTTCTAGCCACAACCATAGGTACTTAATGTCAATGATAAAATGAAAGAGGAGCCGCTGAACATAACTAAAGGTATAAATAATTATAAATAACAAGAAAACGACAAGATTATTCACAAACACTTTATACATTACCTCAACAACCTACATCTGTAAAACACAGATTATAATTTGTCTAGAATCCAAATAAGTTGGACCAGATAGTTACTATACCACTCAACGATTTCTCTGTTCATCTACAATAATCACTTTATTCACCTAAATTGGACGAAAACTGTAACTACTAAAAAAAGAATGAAGAAAGAACAAACTTTTAACATAATAAAATAAAGCGTAGTAATCCGTAAATATTAGTTTTATCTAAATAAATATTCGCGAGTCAGATATCATTATAAGAATGAAGAACATATTTTTGCCAAGTAATTCCAATAGCCAGGAACCGGTAACAGAAACCTTTTCGTTGAAGTTCCTCAAATAGTCGCTCTGGGATTGACAGTGGTACTTTGATAACTTTTGAGTCATTACTGATTCTGCGGAGCCAGCAAGGTGTCGGCCCGACATTAATTAATATATTACGTGTATCGTTTTAATGATTTAGATACATGCAATAATTGGATGATATCGATCATTATTTTCTTATCTTATTCTAAGTTTAAATTAATTGTATCTTTTTTTTTATGATAAAACTGGTATTTAAGTCCTCTGGTTGTAACATATTTCTTTGAAAATTTGTTCTGATACATGTTTTTTTTTTATTTTATACAATTCCTTGAACTACTGTTATATCTTTACAACATTTTATCATAAATTGATTACTCATTTTGATCGATACTTATACTTTTAAGATAGTGATGAACGATATCGGTTATAATAAAGTAATAATACGAATTCTCAGTAATAAGCACTTTTGTCAATTTTTTATTAGTGATGTATTCTCCGTATCTCGCGGTATATAAAATGATTTATTGAATTATTAACGTTTTCAGAAAACTGAGAGCCTAGAATCTAGATAAAAAATTACGTAATTCTTTTCAACCTTTGTGAGACCATTGTAAACTTTTCCCCAAAATCTGGACGTCTAATTGTCACAACTTGAGTGGTAGACATTTTGTGTTGTTATAACATTGAAATTTTATTATTGTTGTGAATTTATTATTGTGAAATATGACCCAATTCCGAAGTATGGAGCAAAATTAACCGCAACATAACACTATAGGTATACTTACACCATTTTATTTTCTGTAGAAATTTAAAATAAGTCATTCTTATATGTCAGATGTTTATTTCCCGCCATTTTTTTTATTATAATGCATTGAGTATTATGCTATTCTTTTCATGAATGAAGTGGTGTGACTTGTAAAATGTAATTAATAAAAAAATAACTTTCTGTACGTCGATGCGAAAAACCTGTAGCATTCGTTTTTGTAACACTGTTACGAAAATCATCAATGTAGGAAAGTTAAACAAAGACTAAGTAAATTTTATATTAAATTTAAATGCTATTTAATAAGCTCCCACACACAAGAGAAACATTAAATTTTGCTTTGTTTTTTGCAATAATTACAATATCAAAAGGTACATATGATAGTGAATTATAGTTATTTTTATTAATTATACATAAAATTTCTTTGCGACAAATATTGACTTGACGAAGTTATACAGTAATATATAGTAATTTTATTCATAAGTAGCATCTACTAGAGTGCTTCTTTCCAGAAGATTAAGAATATGATAGATTAATTCATGCTAAGTATACCTAGAAACTACTTCTTTGATAAGACTGCAATATTATCGTATTATCCCAGTGACTAATAATTTTAAAAAAACAAATAATCTGAGTAATTAATTTTATAGATATTGCTATTCGTTTACAAGTTTTATAGAACATATTTTCATGAAAATAAAAAATAAGATAAATATACGAATGATGTAAATCGTAATAAAATAATAAAGTAACTGTTATATACATTTACCAATTCCTATCAAATCAAATGATAATTAATTTATGGCTACACTGATTTATTATATTATATAGTATGATAAGCAAGGCTCAAAATGACTTGTATCCAGAGCAGTAAAAACATTTACAAAGAAAAATAAACACTATCAAGTATGAATTTAAAATTCAGTGTCGACAATTTCTTTGAATATAATATTGCTAGTACATAATTTTTGTAATTCACTGTATTGCCATAGTAATATATTTTCCTCGAGATAACTTTAGTATAGATCACAAGTTGCGTCTCTAGAGTATGTGTTCCTCTTACAAATGTTCAATCATAGTGTTTGCTCAATCATGTAAGGGATGGAGCCGGCCGAGTCGAGTCGACGTGGAATCAAACAACCGGTGAGATAAAACTAATTATATTATTTATTTTAAACATATACAAGTAAGATTAATTAAATAAACCTATAGCTACGAGGGTACAAACTTAAAGCAAAGTAACAGAAAGGTGGTAAATGAAACACCGATGCTTATTGACCTAAAAATGAAGAAACATTTATTTTCAGTATGTCTTTTGTAAAATTTAATAACAGAATGAATTCAAATGTCGTTAGAGAATAACAGAGCCAACAATAGAAATATAATATTTACGAGTCATTTACAGATACGATCAATGCAGTACCGACACATCTAGATTACTTCGTTACTGAGTTAGTTCATAAACATTATGTGATCTGCTGTAGTGGCGCACGAACGAGCGGCGACACAGCTGCCGGCCCGCCGACACCATACATTATATTATATAATATTATATTATTTTTTTTGGGATTTTTAAATTTTTTAATCGTCACGTACTTTATAAATATCTCATACTTGAAAAAAATTTACATTAAAATGTATCGGAAAGGTGCGAGCCACAGACGCACTGCGCACACACACAGGCGACGCTCATTGTTCCGCCCCTGTACCGCTACACTCAAGTTATCTCCTTACATAATAAAATTAACGGAATACTTTAAAGTCTAAACAGGGCTAGGAGGCGCGCGCGCGCCCCCAGCCATATACCATTAAACTGAAACGATGACAATATTAATTTATCGCAAACACTAGAGAAATGCAGGTCCAATACGATGGTCATATTGTGTGTCATGAAACAAAACGTATATTGAAACTCTCTGCTTTATACACACACACTAGCCGGCGGCTCACTTCGACGTCATCATGGTGACGAATTCTGGAACAGAACACACGCGTTAACTGACTATAGGGCGAGGGACGCTGGCGGCCCGGAGAATATATATACAGAACCCTCGAGAGATAGAACACACACAGAGATAGATATAAGAGACAGATCAACACACTAGAGATAAACAATGGATGTAAGAAGTCACAGAGGCGCCGGTACTCGACATGCCACTACTAGGGATATGAAATACCACCCTCCGGATGTACCGGCCACCGGCGCGTCTCTGTAAACTCAACACGTGCCGTCTGATCGAACTGTTTGCTGCTCGTTATAAGGGTACAAGCTCTAACGGGTCGGGATCGCCAGGTGGTATTTCTTGTGAAAGATCTATACAACACATGCACTGAAGGGGCCGCTCGGAACAGAGTTACGGGCGACCCCACAGCTAGAGCCCGAATTAGAGAGGAATTTGGGAAGGTGGGGTCTAACATGTCAGATAGAACAGTTAATAACGAGCAGCAAACGACACTGTGAGTACCTAGAGGCGGCACGGTGAGTACCTACACATTACTAAAAACGAGATCACAGGAATCGTAGAGCCTCTTTTGCGACTTATCGCGAGTAAAGTACGGACAGCCCGCGCGCTAGCGGGAGCCGTCCCCCCTCCCAAATATCATGTGTGCGAGGGCATGGAAGTCTGCGAACAGAATGACCATCACCGGGACGTGTGCATCGTAAACAGACACGGATATTAGTATAGCTTGTGAAAAAATGCTAAGCGTTTTATGGCGCGTTGGAGACGATACAAATGTAAACACAAGTCGACAAAATCTCGCCAGCGTTAGAAGAAATCCGTTACAATGCTCGGAGGCTTGGCCGCGGTCCAATATGGGACAATTTAATTGTAAAATAATATCTGTTTAAATGTGGATTGGTACTGATGTTGATATATAGTTGCTAATTTAACTTTGATTTTAAAAGAATAAATATTTAATACTCTATTACAGTCCACGTTTCATACAGGCCAATACATAGAGTGCCAATAATTTAGGTTATTCGTAAACATACAGTCTGTTGTTACAACGAGCTAGCGATCAAACAACATTTTTATGACGGGAGACGTTCTTTATGTACAAGACACCGTTAAACATCATCTTGGTATACGAACCGAGGGTGGTATATCATAGTAATGGAACGTTATATCGTGTGTATCATATCATTATCATATCATACTGACCCTCGTAATTGACCTGTCCGTCGCCGTCGATGTCGGCCTCGCGGATCATCTCGTCCACCTCCTCGTCCGTGAGCTTCTCCCCCAGGTTGGTCATCACGTGGCGGAGCTCCGCGGCGGATATGAACCCGTTGCCGTCCTTGTCGAACACGCGGAACGCCTCGCGGATCTCCTCCTCGCTGTCCGTGTCCTTCATCTTGCGCGCCATCATCGTCAGGAATTCGGGGAAGTCTATCGTGCCGTTACCTGGAATAACATCGAGATTCACATCAAATAAAGTTCTAGAGTTCATTGACCTAACAGATTTCCTAAGTATATAGATCCGTACCAAAATGAAGATTGATTAAATCCTAAGACAGTATTCGTATACGGCGTTGTAAGAATCAATTGTACAAACGCTTATTTTTATTTATCTCAAACAAAACGCCAATCACTTTCGCTGATGGAGCATTTATTTTAGTCTGCCTACAGAAAATAGTTTTGTAAATTACAACTCTTTTAGGAGAAGATCAAGCCAATCAGTATTATTGGTATTAAAATACAGATGTTACAATGAAAAACGATATTAATCATAAATATTGATTCAATAAACAATGATAAATGAACAAAACAAAAAATTACAAAAAAAAAAATCTCATTTAAGATAAAATTACGAGCACAATAAAAAATATATAACAATAATCTGCAGCGTATTTTATTCGACCGATTTAAACTGTTATTTGACATTACAATGACAAAAGAGTAACAATTATCATAATACTTATGAGATATTTTTGTAATGTAATATTTTTCAGATGTTCCAACGCGGTGTGGCTGAACAAAGGATTATTTGGACTTGTCACGGGCAGATTTATTGTATGGAAGATAATAATCTTGCCGTTTCTGACATATAAGCCATTAATGTACACCCTAAATTACTGAATCACGACTACGCACGCTATGGGTGAAATACACGAGAATTTACATTGGTTTTATACACGAAATTGTAATAATTGTGTTGGTGCGATCTCTACTAATATAACAAATGCGAAAGTAACTCTGTCTGTCTGTTACGCTTTCACGCCTAAACCACTGAACTGATTTTAATGAAATTTTGGTACAGACAGAGTTAGTTGACCTTGAGAAAGAGCATAGGATAGTTTTTATACCAGAATTTTGGAAGGTTCTCTTGGAAACGCGATATAACCGAACTCCACGCGGACGAAGCTGCAGGCGGAAAGCTAGTTATAGATAATAGGATAAAAAAATAAACTTTTTATTGAATCTCATGTAAAACTTAGCACAAAAATCTATTGGTAACGAAACAATAAGACGTGCGTGTGTGTGTGTGTGTTAGTTATTATTTTTCCTCAAAACGTTACAGTTCTCCAGTGTTATCGAGCTCGTATTATTAAAGCTAAACATGTAATAACAGCCTTGGATACCGATATCACCGGCTAGTGTTATGTTTGTACTGACTCATAATGAATTGTAAAAACAACGTTTTGGCAAACGAGATCAATGTAGGCAGAGAGCTAAGTTATTTGAGAGTTTGGATTATTATTAATAAAGAAATAATTGCATAGGTTGAACGCACCGAGTCGCAAAAATAAGTACGAGTTAAGTATAGCTCTCCTAAATCCGGGGTAACCTTTCGTACGGCGGTTATTTATAGGTCGTATTGAGCTCTCAGAATGCAAGCCGCATTCCCAGAGACGATACCTACAGCTTCTAGGACACATCTGGACTCGATACTATCAAGATACTATAACTACTGTTAATAAAACAACTATATATGGCGACTTCTTCTACCTAACAATTTCCCAGCTATAGCCAGGGTCTGCTTTATATGTGAATAGTTTTGGCTATTTGTTTTTACGACCGGTCGACTGCCTGACATCAACCCTCTTTGAGAATCAACACTAATCAGTGATGTCTAAATACTCTTATAAAGTACATATGACTGAGAAAAATCACATATATATGGCGACTGTGACAAAAATTATATATGAGTAGGAGGCAGTTAAGTTTCTTTTGATGTCAAGTGATATATTCGCCCGTGTGGTCCGTCATTGTTCGTCCAACAATAGCTGCCTTGATCAAAGACTTGCCCATATGTAGATCATTGTTTTAGTATATAAAATCTATTTTTGAGTAAGGAATTTAATGTCAGAGCATTGCGGTAAATCCTGAACGAGGCTTGTGGTCTGCGGTCGTATAGAGTTTCCGGCACGTTCTCATGTAACACGATATATCAGCTTGTAATTCCATACATTCGTATTAATATATCCTAGTACAGAAAGGTGAATTTATGTATAGAGCATTTGTCTAACGCCCATTATATGACTAATGGCACAACTTCCGTGTATAATAGTTTCCTAGTTTATATTTTTGTTATTTACCAAGATGACGAGCGAGCGTGATCCATTGAAACACAAAACACCATAAATGAAATCACTTTAATGGATACAAGGTCGTATGATAATATCCGTTGTCATATGTAAAGTTTTACATATAATTAACATCCTTCGGAATTGTTCGCGTTCACGTAAACGAAATATATTTAAGAGTAAGGCTTGCGATTAAATACATATGTTCAGAAGCAAATAGTATCACTGTTACTTCGCACAATAGCCGATTTGTTATACATTTACATATATATATTAATGTACGTATTGTAGCCGAAACCTTGTCATATAATGGGATATTAGCCGTGTCGTTAGTGAGGCTTCAGCGGGCGAGGACGAGTCAGTCAAGATGGCGTCAGCCGCTAGCCACATTCCTTGATCGATACGTAATTAACTGCCTACTCCATATCATACTATCGATTAGCACAACAGCCCATACTTTACGTTGACGTAACCGAGACATGAAACATACATACATACAACATGACTAACAAACGTTACAAAAATACCAATACAGTTTTTTTCCTAAGCCTATGATATTCACCAGGCGTTCCTCACGGCTGCAGATCCATTGTGTTGTAAATTTCAACTGGCAGCTTTACGTAACAATGGAAATGGCGAGCCGGGGAGAATTTTGATATTATTACGTCGTATGGCATTCACGTACACATGAATAAACCATAACCCATATACGTACGTGCATTAAAGATAATGAAATGAATATAATATATATGGAGAACTTAATAAACAACTTCCGATGAATTTATTGCGAGAGTTAAAAAAATTTATATGAAACGATAGTGAGTAATCAGACTAGGTATTAGTGAGAAGGAATTTTTGCTAGTATAGTAAACGGTCAGCGTGAAGTATGCATCGGTTTGGTAAATTAGCGGTGCTATCATGTTTGTCAGTCTGCCAACAACGGGCCGAGCCCGAACAGTGTAGTGTAATATTATTTAGGGTAAAAGTATTGCTCGGACGATGCTCCTAACGGGGGAACGGGCGCGACAATCTGGAAACACGCCAAAGGAATATGCAAATTCATTTGCAATCCGCGGCTGCCGGCAAGCACCGTTAGATAAGTGCCTTGTCAACACATATGCGCTTGGCAATTATTGAGCATGCCTTGTGACTTTATCATTTGGGGAATGACGATTAAGATTCTATTGATATTACGAGCTAATTAAGAACATGTATAGATTATAGTTTAATGTTAGCTGTGTGCTAGAGATTTTTTCTCGCAGGCTGTATGTGAAGAAGTTACGATCGATACCCTGCCAGCCTTCCAGCCGAACGAACTTTCCCTATCTCCGTATAATGTTTCATTTAATAATAATTGTTCCCAAGTCCGTAGTCAATTTGAATGCGACTTTGGGGTTTAGTACGGCTCGTAAAATGCGCTCGAATGTTGCCAACACTGAATAAACAACAATCATGTTTAATTGCTTTATGTGAAAGTTATTTAACATCGTTTAAGACGATATATGTTTTGTAATAAGAATTTGAGAGATATATTTTATTTAGATAATACTAGAGATTGGAATATCTTCCAGTTCAGAACTAGTCTTTGACAAAGGATGTCTCGTTTAATGTTATGTAAAGAGACAAATCGATATGAAGAACTACATAATGGGCGGAGAAAGGTCAGGCGGCTGATATATCGGCTACATAAATTTTCAAACTAGTTAGCGGTCTAAAAATATATTAATGTATATTTATAGGACGGTGTGTTCGCTGACAATGTACTATGGACACCGTACGTAATGGGGTTAGGAACATTTGGTGACAGAGTGTCGGGACATCAATCGATGCGAGGGCATGACCTGACTATTTATATTGTGATCCGGTTTAGAACAATAAACAGGCGCATGCGTGGACAAAAACACCCAGGGCTATCCGGGTGACGGAGACTATATATGAGATCATATTACATAGACGAACAAGGGAATTAATGAGCCAGCGTACAAATCAGACGTGGATCAATCGATACCACCTCGGCCTGTCAGCTTTAATGAGGTCAATGAAGACGAGGGACACGAATCACTACACCCAGGCGTTGTAGTTAAGAGATCGTTCAGAGATTTATTAATTGTGTACCAACCAACGAACGATCGCTTTATGATTAACACATCACATAATACATGGGAAGTATCCAACATTCGAGTACTTCACGTAGCCGGAATTATGTTTGAAATACCGTGAAATTTAAATCGTGTAATTCAAAGTCGACTGTATTAGGGGCGCCGGCGAGTATTGATCGAGGCGAGAGGAGGAGGGACCCCGCCCACGGCCTCAGTCAGCTGACTGACGCTCACCAAATTATGGCATAGACATTTAAAATTTATACAAAATTACCTTCACGGATATATGTACCGTTATAATTTAGTATTATTGAACCGCAGATATAGTTAGAGGAGCACCACCGACCCGTACACCGTCTCCCTCGGTCGAGTGAACGACTTCTTATCTCGTTTAGCGAGCCACAGTGACATCAGCATCCGAATTACAACACTACTTATTATTAGACTACAATCGAATTATTGTTAGACATTGAGGCATCTGTACAACACGAAACTAACATTCGAGAATATAGAATAGAGATAGTTACATACTTTAAACATTAATAAATAACATGGAAATAACAACGCTAAGTACAGCTATAAACTATGAGCCGGTCGTTAGTTATTAAAGTGAATTTATGTTAGTTTTTCGATGTTGTTTTGCGCTTTCCGTCTACAGAGTTATGAGTCCGGCCGGTAGCTAGCGGTTCAGCGCACTCGATGCATGCGGTCGTCGGAAACACATCAAATGTAGTACTGCATTCAAATTTATATGAGGATTTATCAAACGAGATCGTGAATACCGTTTAAATGACTCAGAAGTACGAAACACAAGGCACAAATCCAATATTAAGAAGATTTTTTTATTTTAAATGCTATCAGACTTTTTACAAAGATACTATTTGTTTTGATTGATATAACTCGTACGTACATCTGTCATTACGTCCTACATGATTATATAAATTTTATATATACAGGAATGTATTAGAACAATATTTCACATCTCTATTGTATGAACAGTAGTCACGTTACAAACGCGATAAGCTGAACAATTGAATCACTTTCTCAATACTGGTAAGTCGCAGTAGTATAGAAGTGTCTTTCTACATAATGTTTTATATGTAAAGTATATATATATAATGTGTCGGCGGCAAGTTGTAAACAAACACTAATTTGAGTTACATTCCCGATGGAATCTTGCCCAGTCGTTTGTAACGTAGGCTATCCCGAGTACACTTCTGGCCACGTATGTAAAGTTCTAAATATTTATTTCAGATTATAATATATATGGTACATGTATCGTCATTTATCAACAGGATAAAGCATTTACAGGAAAACTGAATTGTTTTTATCATTATTGTGAACACTATCCTGTTTGTTGGATGGAAACAAATTAATTTGCAGCGTCGTTCGCGGATGTGATGGCATTGTTAGCCTCAAACGGTATGTCACTCATATGTGACCGTTATATCATTTTAATTCAAAACATTAGTTAAAGTATTCGTATTTTGTATAAAAAACATCGAGATTCTTGTTAAGATGATAAAATTATTTGAAAAAGTAAGTAATAATAAATTACGACGCAGTTGTATTAAATCGTCTGGAAAGCGACAATTAGATTCGACGCTCGAAAGGATAGGAAATGTCTCATTTTCATCCGCCCGTTTCCAAAGGAAATAAGGCAGACAATCAAATATTTTATTATTTTATATTTGAACAATATTTTTGTCATTATTATGATAGACTTTGGTCACAATGTAATTGAGACGAGCTGGAGTCACATTACATGTTATTGCCGTCGAATGTCTCACGATCAATGAAATGTTATTGTAATAACAAACAAACATACACCGTATTGTGATTGGAAATACATTTAATACATAACAAAACATTGTTTACCCTTATATAGCGTTAATCAACACTAAGTATAGGCGAGGATAGTTTCGCTTGGACGAATGGAATGGGTGTTTTTTTAATTTACTATTTATAGCCAACAAAATATGTATAAATGAATGTCTTCTGATAAAAAAATAATGTATTAATTGTAAGATCAATGTCAAGAACGGCTTTCGTCTCGATTTTAAATATAAATAATAAAATTAAAACTCGACAAATCGCTTAAAAAAAAGTCCGTGCATTTCAAATCCTTCCCAAAATGATATCTCCCAGACGGTCGTGAGCTCAACTTTCTTTATTTTTCCGTAATGAAACCGTCATACAGCGAGCGTTGTAAATCTCCGCGAAGATATATATTTATCGTTGAACATTCGGTATTTCGTTATTGCTAAAAGCTTTGGGTGAAAGTACTCCGCCGTGATCGTAAATCGCAATCTCAGTTTTTAACAATTCAAACAAACGAAGCCGTTGTTCAAACAACGCTTTATTTGTCCGGCTCACATAGTAATCTGTTAAGTTTTCCGGGTGTCTTTTTAATCGGAATGTTTGTTTTTCGTATCTGGTACGGTAAAGACCAAACAAGAACATGTGATCGACCTTCAAAACTCCGAAAGAATCGCATATGGCTCTTGTGTATAGTATATGCCATGTGTATATATAGTGAATTATAATAATTCTTAGACATTCGTCGAAGCACAAATGTCTCATGATAATCAGGTTTGGCAAAAGTGTTACGGGCGTTCAATTATATTATTAATTTTAAAACTGGCACCGCTCGATTATGTATCGTGTATTGGCAGCAATTGTGTTGTAAATTATTACATGTGCAACTACTTGGCGGTCCGGGACTTGGAAAAATATTTGTGTACAGACGGAAAAAACGCTTACTAAGGATCGATGGAGATTATAGAATGATGACGAAATAGTCTTGAAAAATTACATTGTTATTTATCAAGAGGCTATACTATGTTTATTCGCTCACTCAGTGTGTACTCGTTAAATTAAAACAAATTTAAAGTAATAAAATAGCAAATAACACTATCAAAATCAGGAGGTAGGCTTATTCAAACACGTATGTTGATTTTTTTACTCAAAATGTATACTTTTTTCGCAAAACAGTGATAACTGTGTACTGTTTGAGATAATTTAAGTATCTTTGTTTAAGGATCATAATACTTAAAAAACGCCTAGTGTAGGTACACTCCATATATTCGAAAGCACGATAATTTTAATACAGTAACTACATGTACAGTCATCTGATGAGTATTTATCGCGCAATGTTTCCCGTGTAATAAATACGTGTGCGATAACACATCGATTATCGATAACGGCTGGTATGGAGCGGCACTATTTAATAACTTGTGTCCCATGCCACGTAATTTACGACCTTATCCCGTCAAATATATTTAGATACTTATTGTCAAAATAATTATTATTAGTACGCCACGCCTGCATACAGAGACGAAACCTCTTAGCATTTAATGTATTCATCGTGCGGGGGAAGGTCTATCGTTGTATGGAGAGGAGCTTCAACAGTGCCTGGGACTTGCGACCCAGGTGTAGGTTTGAAGGGCCCTATCTAACGCGTTAAACGTTAAAGTATATCCTATTTCGATCCTAGTATATACTCACCATCAGCGTCAACCTCATTGATCATATCCTGCAGCTCGGCCTCAGTGGGGTTCTGTCCCAACGACCTCATGACTGTCCCCAATTCCTTGGTAGTGATGGTGCCATCACCATCTTTATCGAACAGTGAAAACGCCTCCTTGAACTCGGCGATCTGTTCTTCTGTTAGTTGATCCGCCTATAAATATTATTATATAGTTTACTATATATAAATAGAGGAAATTAGTTCGATTATTCTAATAAAACATTGTCTAGAATAGTGCAAATCCGAGTAACTAGCATTGTATAATTCAGCATATTTATATAGGAAGCAAATTATCAGACGAAAGTTTGAGCTGAAATATTTTCTATTTAAACAACTTTTGAGGTAATATTTTCACAATTAGTGATTATTAAGTGTTTAATTTATTACTAATTGTGAAAAAATACTTTAAAAGTCCTTAATTTAGAAAATATTTCGACTCAAACTTCTGATCGGCTGTAATGTAGATACGCGTAATTATCCAATGCTAGTTTTACGCTGATTTGCATTATCCTGGTCTATATAGTATTCCTAAACAAGAGCATAAACAAATATACCACAGTGACGACCATCTTGTACAACTAACAAAACCTCTCAAGGCGGGGTCGGTACAATTAATGCTGAGTACATGTGTGATAAGATAGTGTAGTAATTATGTACATGAACACGTCACACTGCGGTGACTAGATAACACAAGGAATACTGCATTACAATAAATATTATCAACATCTTAAGATAACATGATATCGGCAAGGAAACATGCTGATAGGAAACACATACATACAACAATACTATTTGATATTAATAAATATGAGCAATTATTGATTAAGTAATAGACAGAAATAAGGATATCTATAATAATGTCGCAATCCCTACTAATATTATAAATGCAAAAGTAGCTCTGTCTGTCTGTATGTTACTCTTTCACGCCTAAACCACTGAACTGGTTTTAATGAAATTTGGTACAGACATAGAGTTGATCTCGATAAAGAACATAGGATAGTTTTTATCCGAGACTTTTGAAAAGTTCTCTTGGAAACGCAATATAACTGAACTCCACACTGACAAAGCTGCGGGCAGAAAGCTAGTCGGTAATAAAAACCTAGCTATACAATTGTATAAGCAAAGTACTAATATTTATTTCAGTCTTTATATAAAAATACTCAATTTATTTGTAATTCCGTTCATATTAATTTTGATAGACAGTAATCACAGCAATGACAAAACAATTGTGTTGTTCGATAAAACAATTTAAATCACAATACATTGTATGTACATTTATTAGAAAAATACATATAAAAACTATATGTCCTATATATTGAACATTCAGAGATAAAAAAAATGAAGTATATTTAAATAGAATTCATAATAAGTTAAGTATTGGTTAGTATGAATTAATTATTGACAAAACTGGATATTAACTAGTTCTTACACTAAACAGCGGAGAAATAAATCTTAATATGTCAAATATAAGCCCATAAGTCAAGTATGAATTTGAACAAATTGATTTATGTAAGTATGCACCGATTACTTACTGGTATATGTTGAGACATTAGTATGAAAATGTAAAAAAAATATCATATAGCTTTTATAGTTATTTACTATAACATTATATGGTGAATTTAAAGTTATTAAGAATTTCAAGGATAAACATATTGTGTCGCACACAAAAGATGTGTATTATATGCTAGAGGGGACTTCCCATGGGAATTTAAGACAGCTGTTACAACTGACATATTAAAAAAACTATTATCGTTTTATTATTAAAAACTGTTTTTTATTCTATTTAGTATTAACTACAGAGCATTTAAATATATTTAATATTTTCTCAATCTACCTACTTTCTCATTTTTTATAGTATGTAGCCTCAAAATGGGGCTAAAGTAAACTATAGTCTAGGCTAGCTTTTTATTTCTCATTTCAATATAATTTAACAAATGAACTATTTAGTGCGAAACCGTTGTTTGAATCCGGTGCCGGTTCCACGGCAAAGACAAACTAAGAGATACCATTGTAACAATGTTCAACAATATCGAGTAATCCGCTGAAAAAATTAATTTGAAACGGTTTTTTTTCCAATTGCGTTGAAAAATAAAGAGATCGTTGCGATGAGTCAACGGGCGTTTGACAGGTGCGCCCGGGCGATCGATCGGCGGCGGCTCGGGCCCCGGAACGACCCAGCTAGGAATATACGGACACGACACTAACTAACTACCATGTAATGTTATAACAGACAGATGAACCGTATACAAACGTCATTACAACGGATTCCTAACAAAACTATGGCGACCGATGTTTCTCGACACATCGGAACCGAACTAAACTGACATCAGCCTCTAAATAGGACAAACGACATTCGATATTTCGGCTTTCCTCACTTTATATTCCCACTAAGGCTTCGCCGACGTCGACGATCCGCATTGCGGTAAAAAACGGCCATCACAATAATAATGGAGGCCGTCGTCACTATAAACACCGATGCACTAAAACCCAAAAATATACCCTGCAATAGACCGGAAACGGCTCTCCGAAAACACCGTAGCCTTCGATTCGGTAAAAGAACACTCACCATCGTAGATTAACTTGGATTATCTGGAGCTACACTAAAAATCACAGACTACGCCGCAAAAGCGACCGCACAAACCGACGGTTGAGACGATACTGCCGCCCTCACTCGCGCGAGCGGCCACGCCGGTAAACTCACGACCGCGATTCGCTCCGTGCGTCGCGCGAGTCGTTCGAAATCGTTCAATCGAATCGCCACACTCTCATGACCGTTCTCGATTCACACCGTATCTCGTCCGCGTCTCGATTCAATGTACGCTCTAAACATCCAAGTCCATGTCTCGGGGCGCACGACACGGGATTAGATCTGATCCGCAAAGGATAGTCGGTTATATAGGGGGCGGGTGCGGCGGCGTACAGCGGGCGGCGGCGCGCGCCGGTCGGCCACCGCGCACCTGCAATGCGTCACTGCGGCTCGCGGCGCTCGGCTTCGAGGTGAAGCGGCACCCGGCTTCACCCGGCCCGGCCCGGCGCGGCCTGCGGCCTCGGACTGCGCAGGCCTCCCGCCCGCGACGTACACAAGCAGACATACACGAACAACAAACACGCTACACAACATCCTGATGCGTCCTTTAAAATACATCTTTATAGTAAATATACGAAAATTAAGCAAAAATGCTATTATCAAATTCTGATAGAGACTGAACACAACGGATAATTAGGTCATTTAGATATATATACAGATGTACATTTATATTATGTACATATAACATTAAAATAATTGATTTTATATATACTTTACGGTGCACGTACTTATAATTGTTATAGTAAATAATAATCATAATATTGTATTACATAACAATAAATCGTAATACTATTGAAAATATATTTTTATATCTCTACTAAATAACAAAATCTCAACAGAAATTAGGTAAATATACAGAAGATTGCATTATAGAGATTACAGTAAATTTTAAGTGAATATCAATACAAAATTTTGATAAGATATTATTGGCTATGGCGGGGCACCTGTTGATATCTTGCTTTCTTATTTCATAATGAATCTATTTTATTTGGTTCCAAAATATTTTAAAATATGTTAAAATGGTTTTATCTCAATTTAGGCTTGTGACTTCTGCGGAATTTTTGTAAAAAACACTAAATTAACTTACATCGCATATTATTAATATGCGAACTTTTTGCATAGTATAATCTAAATTAATCAATAATTTTAAAAATATTGCTATTTCTAAATCAAAACAATGACCAATGAAAATTGTGGGAAATCGATTTCTACAGTACAATAAAATCGATTTTAATAAAGTAATGTTATGCTATCTGTTACATTATTATGTCAATAACATAGTGTCAAATGTGGTACGTATTTTATAAAGAGATGGCGCTTATAAATCATGAACTTCGTTGCATTTGAATAATTTAGCTGTTAATTACTAGATTCTTTCTCTTTATGACATAATCTATTTTTGTAAAAGTTAATATACAAACTTTTTTGTAATGTAAAAACTTAAAAAAATATTTTTATATGGGACACAAGTATTTTTTTTATTTTAGAGATGTTTGTTTGATAAATAAATAGATTATAAATAAAAATTCTGTATATTTCATTTTATTATTCCTCACGTAATTTTGGTCTATATAATATTGGTTATGTCCAATTGTGAGCTACTCTCTTTATTGATAATAATTGTTTACTTTTCACCAACCACCCAAAGAGAGTTATTGAATTTGAAGCGTATTATTTTTTGGGTACCGCGTACACACTAAACATATGTATTTTTAATTATAATTATTGTAATTTATTCAATATATATTCTGTTACCATTCGAAGAAAAATAGCAAATGAATGAAATTACGTTTTTCCGATATACAACACGTTTTTTATTATTTTGTTATTTGTAGCTATATACTCTCGACGCTTCAATTCCTTTTCAGCAACCGTGATCACGGGCAGACGAGATGTGAATGTTTGTCAGTTAGTCTTGTTATTTGTCATCTACCGCCAACGACAAGTATTATCATATAATTATTTCTCTAATCTAAATATCCGATATAGACTTGGAGTCGATAAATAATTTACTTTAGTTTTAAATCAAAAATTTTAAATATTGACTATAGCAAGACATGGTAATTGTTTGTCTGGGCCTATGTTTCTTTTGAGTTACAATTTGGGTGTGTTCAAGAAAAGGATGAATAGGATAATACTTAGATAATGCGTTCACTAATTATGACGTCATTTTTATCTTCCAATGTTGAATGATAGTCATGCACTAGCCTATCGAAATTTTAAAAAAAAATACTGCTATATACATTGTGGGTAGTTGTATGCATAGAAAGTTTTTTTCGAATCCCTACTAATATTATAAATGCGAAAATAACTCTGTCTGTCTGTCTGTTTGTTACGCTTTCACGCCTAAACCATTGAACTGATTTTAATGAAATTCGGTACAGATATAGAATTAACCTTGAGAAAGAACATAGGATAGTTGTTATCACAGACTTTTGAAAAGTTCTCTTGGAAACGCGATATAACCGAACTCCACGCGGGCGAAGCTGCGGGCGGAAAGCTAGTATATTATATAATTGATATTTAGTTACAATTACACATATATAAAAAAACAGCCTTTAAGGAGATTTTTCCAAGTATACATGTAAACAAAACTAATATTTTCGGATTACTTAGTCCGGTCTATTTACACATTCAAGTTTACATAAATTCCCATAAAGCTGAATATTGGCATAGTTGTTCAAAACATCATTATAAAGAAAATCTCAAAAGTCCTCATCGTTCCGAGGTGTGCTAAAAATTTGGCACGGGGTCAAAGGTCAAAAAATGAGTTTTTTGCGATTTTTAGCGAAACGGTGAGTTTTTTCGCAAAATTACCCCAGTACAAAATTGTAGATCACAAAATTCTCTACAAAAAATATATCAATAATTTTTTTCCTAAAAGCCACCATTTTGGAGATATAACGTTCCGAAAAGTTGGATCAGTCGTAATCCCTCTATTTTGCACACGTTTCCACGCCACCTATGAGGTAGTGTACAAAGCGCGTTTTTTTTAACGTGGTTTCCCCAGTAGGCCTATTCCACGGGTCTGCTGAGATTTTATATATTTTAAAACTATTGCAAAATAATATTATATATTATAGTGGGCAAAAACAACGGCGGTGTAATTAAATAAAATACTTAAAATAAAAAGTTAGTCGTCTGATTCATAACTGTCCAAGATTTCTGTTTCTTCTTCTTCTTGATCTTCTTCTTCTTCTTCCTGTTCATCCTCTTGTTCTTCTTCTTCTTCTTGTTCTATTTCACACGTAAACTGCCCCAATAGCAATTCCTGATCGGTATCAAACGAATCTTCAAGAGTTGGTGACTCAACATTCGAGCATGATCGGCCTTGACAGTGTGTGCATGCCAGGGAACAAAACAGTCCAACTTTTCTGCAACCACATTTTGCACTACACCCTTTCTTGCAGTTGCAAAAAATTGTGTTGAGAAGTTTCTCAGGTGCTGGTGGAAGTAAAGTTTGGTCGAATAGCAGTCATGATACTATGACAAATATTGGTGCATACTAGTTTTAAATGATCGAAATTTGATCGTTTATTTTTTAAGATCATTTGCTCAAAAAAAAATGTCAGTGACTGTGGGATGTCATTATTTAAATCTTCAAACATTCGACCTGGTGGAGGGTAGTAGGAATTATCAAATACCGAGGATTGAATATCTTCTCGAATAATAGATGCTGCTGCTTCTAGAGTTTTTAATCGTTCTTCTTGTTTATTAATTTTTTTATTTTCGGACCAAGATTGATTTAAAATTTCATGGTGACTGTTTATCAAACATACAAATGTTAACGCTCCCGGTTTTTCAGTGATAATAATTTTATCGCCATATTTCAGTTTAAGTCGCAGCTTAATAGTCCTGTTATCTAAAGTTAAAATTTTGCTAACATCTTTTAACTCAGCCAAAGTAAACTGACAGTCATTGCTACTCTCAATGTATGTAAATATTTCCTGCATTGCCAGATCTGTTGCTTCATCTTTAGGACGACCAACTGTACCGCCAGTAGTCGGTTTCAAAAAAGAAGTATAACATTCTTGGTGATACTTTGCTTCAGCAGCAACTAAATCATAGTCAAATTCGATTCGAGCAACAACAGCTTTCGATATAGCATCGGAACGAGTTCGTGCTACTTCCAAAATTGAATGTTTGAATTGGAGTGTACTTACTTGACAAATTTTACTGCGACGATCTAAGGATTTTTTTCTCTGCAACTCTTCATTCAATTTATTGCCACAAAATAAACATAGTTTTTTAAAACAAAAAGCTGAATCACTTGAACGGGATCTAGTACGAGGAGGACTACTTACTGTAGATCCTGTAGATGTGTTAGCTTCTTGTTCTTCGCGTTTTCTTTTGATGGCAGCAGCAATAGAACACTTCCGCGTATAAATTTTACGACAGTTGCTATGTATTGTCACAGATTTTTGTTTTTTAAGAAATTCCGAGTATCCATCATCTCTTTCAGCACTTGCATTAATCAGTGTCTTCATACCACAAAAATCTAAAACGCACAAAATAGGTTAAAAGATAGGTTAAGATAAGCACATGTTTTCCCTACGCAGTGGCGCTCAAGACTAACGGTATGTATTTCATATATTGGGCATGCCAACATAAAGCAGGTATACGACCCTAGCCACGCGGACAATAGAATAAAAGACAGATGTTATCCCAAGGTTATACTGACGTACAAATTTAGGAACGGGGTTTCATTATACCTCAGATTCTCGTAGTTTAACTTATATTTTACATAAGCAAGTTACAATAAATAATAGCGAACTTATTTTAGTTCTATTACACCTTTAGTGACTTTCATATGTGGCGTACGTGTGCAAAATAGAGGGATTACGACTGATCCAACTTTTCGGAACGTTATATCTCCAAAATGGTGGCTTTTAGGAAAAAAATTATTAATATATTTTTTGTAGAGAATTTCGTGATCTACAATTTTGTACTGAGGTAATTTTGCGAAAAAACTCACCGTTTCGCTAAAAATCGCAAAAAACTCATTTTTTTGACCTTTGACCCCGTGCCAAATTTTTAGCACACCTCGGAACGATGAGGACTTTTGAGATTTTCTTTATAATGATGTTTTGAACAACTATGCCAATATTCAGCTTTATGGGAATTTATGTAACCTTCCTCCTGATTTTAGGCTTAAATAGACCGGACTAACTACGCGTTTTTTTATTATTTTAACTACATACTCCTGACGTTTCGGTTACTTTACAGCGTCCGTGATCACGAAGACGACATTAGAACATTTTGATGTCGGGACTGTGTAGTTTATAATAAATATTATATCTGAGTTAGATATAAGTTTCATTTAACAGCTTTAATTAATATATACACCTATATAAAAAAAACCTTTCTTTTTTCCTTGCGACCGACCGTCTGAATTAATTGTGAATTACATTGACTATTATCTAAGAAAGTTTTGTTTAGAAAGGTTTTATCAGGGATCGGTGTATGCAAAACATTTTTCATCGTATAGGCATATTACTGGAAATATTATTATAATTTTTGATATTAAAACCAGTTTAATATGAAGTCGATGATTTGTAAAATAGGAATTCCTAAATTGATAAGATAATGGAATGTAATTATTAGCTATAATCTGGGTATAATAATGCGTGAACAGTTCGTGTAATAAAATTGTATTTTTTACATATTATGTGTGAGTATATACATATTATTATGTATGTGTGTGTGTGTTTATTTATCAAGTACTAATATAACCAATTTAATGCCACTAATTTAATCTTTCTCGTATGTTTAGATGTTTTTTATGGATTTAATTATACAGGGTGACTGGTGAATTACTATCAATATTTAAGGATGATACTCGGTACATGATTCTCATTCGAATTATGTAAAAAAATAGGTACTTAATTTTTGACCAAATTTCCGTATAACAAAATAAAGTGTGGACACGTTCCAAGTGTTCCAAGTGTGGACGCGTGCGGCGGCGTGCTGATACAACACCACGCCGCCGCACGCGTGTGTGTGTGTGTGTGTGTGTGTGTGTGTGTGTGTGTATACCTAATCTGTAGGGTGTTCACACGATGCGTAATTAATTACATAACTTTTGGTTAACTTTACTTAGAAGTTTATTAATGTTTATGTTATATTAATTTTTATTTTGTCATATATGATCGTCAAATATCACGTCCTCAAGTATCGATAGTAATTCACCAGTCACCCTGTATATATATATATGAAAGTTCATATTATAATAGTCATGCTCTTTGATCAAACAGCTATTTTTAGTAATTCAAGTATTATTTTCCATCAGTTTTATTCTGTTTTTCAGGGAGCTGCGGTTTAAAACTTCACTTGCATAACGTTGGTAATAAAATAAATAACGCGAATGTGGCTTCCATTTCAAAAAGTAAGCACGATTTCTCACGATTGCAGAAATTCGTTCGCTTTGAGCATGTATTTGTGGCGAAATAAAATAACTTGTAGTTTTAAAAACTTGTAATACATAAAAGTTACATTAATATTTACTGTTTTTTATATGAATACTTTTAAAATCATATACATATAACAGTAATCTCATTGTTTGAAAAGATTTGTCGACAATATTTTGTTTCTCAATTTATTGCTATTTATTTTGATCAGGCGTTGACCTAAATTAATTAAACTAGGCATTATTGTGTGTTGGAAACAGTTTGAAAACAGGAGTTGTAAATAATTTCTGTTATTCGGAATTTCACAATTGTGGTTATCTGATGTTGAAGGGCTGAGCGGACGAGACGTGTAGAGAAAGGAAAATATTGTTGTTTTATTGTACTATAGGAGTTATTGAAATTGTTAAATAGGATTCAGGTTTTACTTGTAAAATATAATCTTAATAAACTATTTATATGTTTTTATTTATATCTAAAAATGTAATAGTTATTTGTTTCTGTATTTTGAATGTGACTGTTGGGATTTACTCGCAGTTTGTGTACAAAATTTCAAGTAGGTAAACATATATACTATCCGCCATCTTTGTTATAGATGCTTTGTTAATTATAATAATATTGTAAAGTTTTTATTGTTCAATGGTTTTTTTAATAATAAGTAAATAAACGCATGTATTTCATTTGACTAAATCCTTCGTGTTTTTTTTCCACGACTGAAGATTACAATTGGTTCAATAAATAAAAACTTTGACATTGAAAATGACGCCATAGCATAGTATGTATTTATATTAATTTATTGATTGTAATATTATCATAATAAAAAATATTTATTTTCCCACAAATGATAGTTTATAATTTCCACGAAATATTTTTTTTTAAATATATTTTAATTCAGTAATGAAATCACTATCGTGTTAATACGAATCAAGATAAAGTACCGAAATCAATAAATTCTGAAGTGTTGTCTTGTCTAGACAATCTTTATCAAATATTATCAGTTAAAATGATGATTAAAAGGACGTTTATGTACAAATCTTTAATATTATACCTACTTGCTAATTTAGACAAATTAAAATTATACATAGTAATTAATAGCTCTGTTATTTCGCTACAAATCTTCGTTATTATTCTTGGAAAGTACTTCGAAGGCAGCCCTAGTAGGTTCGTTTCAAATTTGGTAGAGAGAGGAGCTTGGACGGTGGAGGTGAGCGTTTAACGCGTTAGATAGGGATCCCTTAAACCTACACCTGGGTCACAAGTCCCAGTCACTGTTGAAGCTCCTCTCACTACAACGATGGACCCGACACACGCACGGTGAATACATTGAATGATGACAGGTTTCGTCTTTTACTAATAGTAAAGGAAATAGGTTTATTGATTATTTATATAATTTTCTTTATTCGTATCTTCTAGCAGCAGCGATAAAGCGAATTCCCTTTTAGGATGAATTCGTTTTGTTTCAGCTTCTACCGTTTCGTTTTTATTGTTATTTTCTCTACTTGTTACCGGTTTTTGCTGACTTCACTAGCGGTACTTTTTTAAATAAACGAAGATTTTAAATTTGAATCTATCTTGTTTGTTTCTTTGTGTCTTAAAAATAATGTTTTTGCATTATTGTTATTTTATTTGTGTGAAAATAATAAAAAAGTAAGATATACACTGAAGGGATCTACGACTTTATCGAGTCTTCATTTAAATTAAAATACATAATATTTTCGGTTTACACATCTTGTCTGCCCGTGATGACGGTTGCTGCAATAATAGTCTATTTTTAATTTTAAGGCAAAATAAGCCTATCTATAAAATCTATAATTTGGAGACGGCATCTGTGAGATTTTAGGTTTTCTACAATTCATTTAAGGTA